AAGATCTATAGATATATAATAACAAAAGAGTCTGGGAGGGAATTTGGACAGGAACACTGTGTAGCTAACGTTTAACGGTGTGTTTGGTTAGTTAATAGTGCTGGCATTTAATAGTTAATTTGGTGTATCCGATTGGTATACTACGTAATTAATAGTGTTGGTAGTGCTTTAATTAATAGTGCTGGTAGTGCTGGTATTTAATAATTAATATTACGTATATGTGATGGTTGCTCTTCCAATGTTACGCATGTTTCGATAAAAAAATTTACCCATGGCAGACAAACTGACAAATTAACTGTTCGGATAATTACAAAAGTGAATGATACTTTTAGGCATGAATGTCCGGATAATATATTTGATTTTCTTTGATGGTTGCTCTCCCATGAAAGTGGAGAATGTAAACGGCCTGCAAACCTGCAAGATGGTTTAATAGATAAATAAATATATTCATTTAAAATATAGTATAATGAAATGGTATCTTCAAGAACACATTTATTGTCCCTATAAAAAAGTCTTTTGGAATACCTGAAGGTAATATCAGTCTATATAAAGGATTGAGTTGTTGCCTCCGTTGAACACAATTGTTGGCTACACTTCTCAACTAAAAAAGGCGTTGAACTTGCAAATGAGTATTGCGGTATTGTTATTTTGTTTTGCTATTATCCACCAATGTTAGATGACTGTAATAATTTCATTTTATACATATCACACGAACTAAAATTTTTTAGTTGTGTTTTAATTATTTACAGATGTCTCCTACTTTTGGAGTTGTTAAGGACGTCACACCCCAAGCAACGCATGGGGCGTTAAGGTTGCGTGTTGTGCGTATGTATAATACGTTTGATACAGATGGTGGAGTGAAGAGTCTTGAATGTGTTTTCCATGATAAGGAAGTAAGACAAAAATACTTATAATGTATATTTCGTGTTTTAGAAATTATGGATATTGTTCAATTAATTTTGATTTAATTCAGGGTGAAAGAATACATTGTACGATAAACAAATTTGATATTGCTCAGTACAAGGACGTGCTAAAGGAAGGTGATTTGTATAAAATCCGGCGTTTCGTCGTTGCGATTGATGGGAAAAAATATAGGACAACGACCAATAAGTTCAAGATCATTTTTTCCGCAAGACTGAAGTTATTGGATTTGACGATGATGCTTTTCCGAGACAAATTTATCAGTTCAAGCCTTATGAATCACTGTTGACGGCTAAGATCTTGGATGAGAGCGATCTTTTTGGTAAGTAAGATATCCTTTCTGTGTGGTTTATTCTTCCAAGTATTAATGTCTTTAATTAGTAATTAGTATGTCTTAAAACAGATATCATTGGTATTGTTACTGGGAAGCGAGCTGTGCAGCAAAAGATTGTCAAAGGTGCACCATGTAGAATGGTAGAGTTTGTCATTCGAGACACCCAGTAAGTATGGTGAATGTTATATATATGAATTTTTTTATCGTATATAGGCTGAGACAGCTTACGGTGACTCTTTGGAGCGAATATGTTGATCAAGTCTTGCCATATTTGGCCGATGATTATCCTGGACCCGTAATCATGATTTTGCAATATTGTCGTGCTAAGATGTTCAGAGGTTTATGAAGTTATTTCTTTTATCTTTTTTGTATTTATTTTAAATATTTATGTCTATAAATTGTTAATAGTCCTCTTACTGCTTATGTTTTCATTTTTTATAGGTGAGCCAAAGCTTTCAAATTCGTATAATGTTACGAAATTGATCATCAATGGTGAAGATCCTGAGTTTCAAACTTTCAAGGAAAGGTAGTTATTCTTTTTTTGGATAAAAAACTAATATTGTTTACATTTTAAAATTATTTTGGTGATTGCGTAGCACTGATTTGTAATGTTTTTAGATTGGTTGAACCGAATGTGCTATCTCAAGGTATAATCACAATTTCAACCACAAACGAGTGTGCACCAATGACTATTATGGATGAGTTAAACAACTTGAATGATCCTGTTACGACCATAGATCAGTTGTATGAATCTAATGAGGTATGTTGATTTATTAGATTAAATTTTGAAGATGTATGCTTTAGTTAATTCACTTTAGTTAGTTATTAATTATTAATTGTATAATTATATTTGATATATTTGTGGTGCAGGTTGGCAGTTTTTGGGTGTGTGCAAAAGTTATTGCGGTGGAAAGCGGTGACGATTGGTGGTATCTTGCTTGCACTAAGTGTTCCAGAAAGCTAGAAAAATCTAATTCTAGGTTTTATTGTACGAGGTGTGATAAATATTTTGTTGATGGCGTGCCAAGGTAAAGTAATTAAATGATTTGTTAACATAAATTTTTATTAGATTAGATTAGATTTATGTCTTTAATTTAATTTTTTCAGTTTTGTAAAGTTTTATTTTCCGCATGTCTAGGTACAAGGTTGTTATACGTGTAGCAGATTCTACTGGGAACGCCACTCTTCTTATTTGGGATCGCATCGGACAGGAAATGTTTGAAAACAAGCGGCAGATTGTCGAGACACGCTCATAAGTGTAGACGAATATGGATTTAATTGTGTCAATTAAATTTTATATATGAAAATTCTAAAAAATTGAATATTACTGTTGTTGACTCCCTCATTATTGCATAGACTGGACGTGAGAACAGTTATATCCCTGTTGAGATAGAGGCTGTCGTAGATGAAATCATGTTGTTCAAGGTGCAAGTAAAAGAGGAACATTTGGGCAATTATGCTTCTGCATTTACAATCATGAGATTTACCAAGGAGCTGGCAACTGTTAACAAATTTAGTGGAAAATTTTGTGAGGACCAGGTTAGAAAAGCTTCATTCGTGTCTACTACATTATTTTTGGAGTAGCTTAGATGAAATGTCTAATATTATATGTAGACATTTAATTGAAAATTTGTGATTGTAGGAATCTGACTTCCTATCTCAGTTACACCGTCAAGACGTATTGAATGAGAAGGTATTACATCAGATGGAGTATTATCTGTGTGGCTTATTTTTACATCTTCGACATAAAAATCTTTTGAAAACAGGTTGATTCTTCTGACAATGAGGTAACTACTCCTATCAAAGTTAATGAGAAAATGGGAACCAGCCAAGAAGTTAGTGGGTCTGTGAAAAGGGAGCTACTTGGGGAATTTTCTACAAACGCATCATCATCAAAAAGGAAGAGGGTTATGGTGAAACAAGAGAAGCAGGACAGTGAGATATGATGCGAGATGGATTGTGTTTTACTCCTTTTTTTGGCGATGTTTGGAAACATTAATTGATGCGGAGTATTTATGATTTTTGTGTTTTGTTTTGTTTGAACACTGTTTTGCCAGACCGGGTGTTTTATTGTTATTGATACTCTCTACTTACTTTTGGATTTATGATGGATTATTATGCATGGTCATCTATTCCTTATTCTTCTGTTTGTGATGTTGGATACATTGTACTCCAAAATACAGAGTAACTATTATTATTTCATGTCTTATTATATATGTTCGACTGTTTAAGAATTTCAAATCTAATGTATGCCAGGTTCCCAGGTATTACTTCGATGACCTTTTGTTAATGAATTTAAATAAGTATTTAAGTTTTTGACTTAATCTAACGTTTTTTTGTGTTGTGTTAACAGGACTGTGGTGATTGACGAATGGGACAATGCAGCCAAAAGTGAAAGTCATGGAGTAACCTGTATATGTAAAAGGGATGTTTGCAAATAGTTTGTGTATGATTTTTGGTTCACAAATGAAAAACAATCTATGTATAAGAGAAGTCACTTTTTATGGTTTAATTAACTACGTTGTAGTTGTATGTATTGTATTGTACTCCGTATTTAATAGATGTTATATAACATTTCAAATGTCTCCTTATCTTAGTAATACGATATCTATCACAATGATTTCAAGTATATAATTATATAGATAAATTTCACAATCAAATCAAATAAGATATTTATAAGGTCTTGGACGACATATCATATGGCCACCATATTCTTGGGTCTAAGAATATGCATAACTAACAAGTCAGTTTCAATTATCACCATTTAGAAGCTATCCTACATATCGATTCTGTACATTGGTGACATTTATTTATTAATCAATTAACAATGTCACAAGTATCCAGCAATATTGAGAAATAAAACATTTTTTGTTGTCTAATTTTACCAATTATCATATTTCATCATTTTTGAAATATAACTTAAAAACTCAGATTTTGGTAGGAATAATTCCTATTACATTAAGAAAAATTAACTTCCTATTAAATAAATAACATGCAAAGTACATTAATTTAAAAATGAAAGTGATAATTTTTTGTACATGTTCGTATTAAATTGTTATTAATTTTAGTATAATTATTAGATCATGTGTAATGTGAACTCACTTTTGGCCAATTATTCATGCCGCCAAGAATATGGAGAACTAGCATTTAACTTCCTATTGCGACGTTTTCATTATTATATTTTTCGATGCCTAATTTTGAATATTGATATATTTCTGTTTTTTTTGTGAAAGTTTAAAAATTTAGATATTGAAAATTTAAAATGAGAGAAAGTTAATATTATTTTTGAAGATAATAGATTTCTAATACATTGTTGTAAAGTCATGGAAAACAAAGGAGAACTAAAAAGTCTCTTTCAAAAAGGGTATTATTATTGGTATGAAATAATTCAAAATGGGGCCACATGCTCTATTATTTGGCCCCTGTATTCCTGCGGCTAAGAGAGAACTAAAAAGTCTCTTTCAAAATGGGTATTATTATTGGTATGAAATAATTCAAAATGGGGCCACATGCTCTATTATTTGGTCGATGTATTCTTGCGGCTAAGAGTAATTATTTGAAATAATTCAAAATGGAGAACTAAAAAGTCTCTTTCAATTATTACAATGTTGATGAGTATTATTATTTGGCCTTATCTAAATCAATTATTGGACTGCTAAAAAATTGGGAAACTAAACGGTCACTTTCAGATGCTCAAAAATAGGTGATGAGGATTATAAATAAGGCCTATAACTAAGACGCATGAGTTCCATTCTGCAATCTACAACTTCATCTATGAACTAGAAGTGTTGTTCTTGAGAGTTTGAGAGAAATACTTCGAATTTACGGACTATGTGGTTACTGTAACAGTCTAACGAGGTAATTATTTCTTTTTTATGCTTATAATAATCCAGCAAACATCTTTTAAATGTAAAATAACTTAAATAAGTGTATGACTAAAATATTTTTAAAACAATCAAATCTCATATGTACTATAGTTCAAGCTATCAGATGTGAATCACTCAAATCCATCGTTTTAGTGATTTAAACTATGTATAATTTCAGAAAAATAAAAAATTCAATGCAAATAAGAAGCACTGCTATGTATTCTTAGTAGTGTATCTCTTTAGGAAGGTAATGAAAAAAATTAATAAACTATACTAAAAGTCATGAGACAACTCAATCAGGATGCCTCTATTATGCAAAATCTATAGATCTTATTGGCTTTTAAACTTCTTCCATAGGCTCCGATTGAGTTTCAAGAAGATAAATTCCAGGGCCATGAGAAATACAAATAGTACAAGAAATATTGGCAAGAGAAGTTTACAAGAAATTCTCGCCAACGGTATGTGATTTTTTATTTTTGTTCAGTTCACTTGATTTATAGAGCTCTGTGTTCGTTCTATGTGAAGTGCATAGGTTTACCTAATGTACTAAGCATGTACATGGGTGGGGATGACATGCGTAAATATGATAAATATGCATGTATATTATTTAGTAAGGAAGAATTTGTTATTGGGGCTTTAAGAAATTTTTTGCGTATCAGTTTAGCATAGGTAGTTTGTATTATATCTATAGATATGAAATAACCAAAAATACTAATACTTCTGTTTACTGTCATTCTGCATAAATGACTATTCAGTCTAGAATGACAAAAAAAGAAACATAGGTAGTGACTTAAAGATAGTGAGATGCATTTAAGGATTTAGATTTACAGATTGTAATTGTAATATATTCAGAATAGGTTTGTAGATAAAGATAAGATCAAATTGAGCACAAGTAAGAGTAGTTAATTAGTTGAAAATATATTATTTAATGTTATTAAAAGATCAAATATATAATGTTAGTGTTACCTGTAGAGAGCAAAATGACATGCAAAGATTATCAAGTCTTCCAAAACACACAAATTCTTTCATAGCACCACCGACAAGACTTGGTTGAGTGTCACATGCTTGCAACTCAAAATAACATCTATCACCAGGTTCACATCTAGCTTGAATGGCAAGAAGCTGCCAAAACCATTAGATCTAATAAGGTAAACTCATAAACCAAGTTAAGCCTCTCACAACAATGTGCATTAGGTGAAACTTTACAAGAAGGGAAAGGATAGTAGTCATAGTACACATAAGAAGAACATAATTCTATTACCTGTAGAAGAAGAGAATGATGTTTATTTGTACCACTGATTTTCTTTTCACATGAGAACACATTTTCAACTGAATCACCACCAGATTTATTTGAGCTCTTCCTGTGCAAAGATATTTATATGGATCAATAAATAAAAAGATGGAAAAGAGTTCAGTTTAATGAAGTCAATGTTTTGCCTCTTAAGAATAGTTCAATTATTAATTTTTATCGATTAAAATACTATAGAAATCCAAAAAATAATCTTAATAGATGTAGCCAGAATTGGAAGAAGATGGTTTTGTGTGTTAACTTTAAATCCATCATTTACTCCCCTGTCAAAGCAGAAAACAGTAGACACCTTTTCAAGTGAGATTGTTATAAGCTTATAATACAAATCCTAATTACTGAGCTCATAAGTGTAAGTGGCTACAGAAATATGAACCCTAACAAAACTAAATAGATTGAGAGGGGACTTTTTACCTCAATTGATCGGTGTTCAAAATGGCCCGATTGAGAAACGATAGGATGACTGCGCTCCCCTCGCCGCCGCCGTTTCTTCTTCGACCAGAACTGCTTCTTCTGCGTCGCCTTCATCAGTCTCCTTTGAATCCGGAAATCTTCAAAATGTCTCTTCTTCTTTTCCGTATTCCTCCTATGGCCCTCGAATCCGGAAATCTCGGTTTCCCGAGTCCATCTTCGAGACTTCAAAATCCACCTAATCTCGCAACAGAGACTTCTACTCCATCGATTGTAAGTCTTTGGTCGGTCGGTGTTCAAAATGGTGATTAGGATGAGGCTATGATAGCCTGTTTTTAAGCTTTGGGCCCATATTTCGGCTAGGGATGTGGGCTACTCCCTAGATTAATGGATATATTCAATTTAAATTTGCCCCTCTTATATGCAAACCTCAATGACTTAATTTTTTAGTTTTTTATTTTTCACCTTATCCAAATTAGCAATGTGTAAGGAAAGAGGTAATATTTTTTACTTTATGAGGACATTTTGTTAATTATTTTTTTAAATATTCTCAGAGAAAACTTCAATTAATGTATCTAAAGAGCGCAGATTGGAATGTGGGCAGTCCTCAATGGCAACTTCTATCGCTTCTTTGAGAGATATCACTAATGGTAATACAGTAATTATGATTATAGTATAGACAAATAATTTAAAAAATTGTCTTTTGTAGTAATAATGCTCCAACATATGCCTAAAATGATTTATTGTAGGAAATATACCATCAAGTTTCACTAAAATTGGTACATGTCTTGAAAGTAAGTTTCCAAGTACATATATCATGGATATTCATGGAATTCGATAGCAACTCAGAGGTTTGCGGAAACTGTGAATGACAAAACAAAAGGTACGTGAAACTTAAATAGAACATGTTGAATGTTTTGGTAGAAAAAACATATTTTAATATTCTTTTAATATTAGGTACTTCGCATGCGAATGACTACGTTGAGAATGTAGTCACGTGTAAGGATTAAATAAATATGTTAGTTGACATAAATTTGGTTTTTGATAATCAGTAGTTAACTAATTTATTAACTTATCACTCCTTTTTTTTTCAAATTTATAGACCAACAAGTCAATCACGATCCTGTTAAGAGTACATCAGAATCGTGAAGTCAATGTCGTAACACAAACCGATGTAACAATTGTTGATGGTCTTGATAATGAAGTTGCACATTCAGGTATTTTTTTAAATAAATATAATAGTATCTTGATCATATATGTTATGGTTATTAACATTTGGAAACTAATTGTTAAATAAATTCAATAGATGATGATGGCGACTACTATTCCGGATCAAAGACAATTTCAAGTGGTAAATTGATAATTTGATGTTGTTATTGTTACTACTATTATATTATACACTAACTAATAATGGTGCCAATATAATTTTAAAGATATGCTACTTATATTTATTTTGAAATTTACAAGGATATTGGGATGTTGGTGACCCTGAGTATTCATGTGAATTTTGCGGAGCCTTATTTTGGTTCGATGAGAGGGTAGAGACCAAGTACAAAGCACGAAATCCAACATATTCTAGATGTTGCATGCAAGGAAAGATTAAACTGCCTCTTATGAAACGGCCACCGTCAATTCTTGAGAAACTATTTATCAGCCAAGATGCCATGAGCAAACACTTTTTGGATAATATTCGAACATATAATTACATGTTTTCTTTTACATCAATGGGTTGAAAAATTGACAACAATTTTAATAAAGGCAAATCACCCCCAATTTTTAAGTTACATGGGCAGAACTTTCATCTAATGGGTACTTTGCTACCAACGAACTCCAATGTGCCTAAATTTGCACAATTATATATTTATGATACCGAGAACGAAATCTCTAATAGAATTAATTCTGTTAGGTAATTTTGTGTTTCCATATTCTAATTTATACATTCTTTTTATTAATTAATTAGTACGTCCTTCCCAATGGACTATGCACTGTTTGAATGAGCAGAACCACCAAATAGTTACTTTAATAGAAAAGTGGCAAAGTTTTTTTGGACAACCAAAAAGTGAAAGTTGGCAAAGTCCAGTGGGAAGGAGAGAATAATTAATTAATTTTGATAATATCACTTTATTACAAATCAATCTCCACATTTTATTTGTAGGAGTAAAGATGATCATCATAATTTGCATGAACAAATTGTGGAAGATCTTAAGAAGACGCTTGATGAAAATAATGTCTTAGTAAAGTCATTTAGAATGGAAGGCAAGAAAATCCGCGATGAAGGGTGTGTGGATTTTAAATTACATCTTATTGGAAGAAGATCAGGAGATGCAAGAACTTACAATCTCCCTTCGGTCTCAGAAGTTGCTACCTTAGTTGTAGGTGATTTTGATTTATCACTTGGAGAAAGAGATATTTTGGTGGAAACATGCTCCGACGGGTTGCAACGAATTAATGAATTGCATCCCTCATATTTGGCACTTCAGTATCCTTTACTTTTTCCATATGGTGAGGATGGCTTTAGGGAATATATACCCCTTTTTTAACAAAAAGAATGATCCAAAAGGGGGGAGACAGAAGATTAGTGTGAGGGAATTCATTGCATTTCGCTTGCACGAGAGAGTTTCAGAAATTTCCACCATTTTACGTGCAAAGAGATTGTTTCAACAATTTGTTGTTGACTCTTACACTTTGATTAAATCCAGTAGATTGAGATATATTCGCACTCATCAAAAACAATTGAGGTGCGAAATGTATAAGGGTTTGACAGAAGCATTGTTGTGTGGTGATGTTAATCTAGCTACACAGGGAAAACGAATAGTTCTCCCATCTTCTTTTACGGGTGGAGCTAGATACATGATACAGAACTATCAGGATGCTATGGCCATTTGTAGATGGATAGGCTATCCTGATTTATTTATAACTTTCACATGCAACCCAAAGTGGCCGAAAATAATAAGATTTTTAAATAAAAGAAATCTTAAGCCAGAAGATTGTCCGGATATTGTTTGTAGAGTCTTCAAAATGAAGCTTGATGGACTAATCAATGACTTCCGTCAGAAAAAAGTATTTGGCACAGTTAAAGCAGGTATGTTTATAGCAACTATTATGTTAGAAATAAAGTATCTTATTATAGTTATCATATAAAATTTAAGATTTTGTGTGTGCAGTTATATACACTATTGAGTTTCAAAAGCGTGGGTTACCTCATGCTCATATAGTACTGTTCCTCGACAAGAATGAGAAAATCCCTACACCGGACTATATAGACACAATCATTTCAGCTGAAATCCCATGTGGGAAGAATGATCCAGAGTATTACAATGTTGTGAAAGATTATATGATGCATGGTCCATGTGGAAATGCGAAATTGGACTCCCCTTGTATGGTAGAAGGACGTTGCTCAAAGCATTTTCCTAAGAAATTCGTGAATCAAACTTTTGTGGATGATGATGGATATCCGGTGTATAGACGAAGAGAAGACGAGCGAACAATTGAGAAAAATGGTGTGCCACTTGACAATCGATATGTAGTGCCCCACAATAGACATTTACTGCTCAAGTATGCAGTACACATGAACGTCGAGTGGTGTAACCAGTCATGATCTATCAAATACTTATTCAAATATGTGAATAAGGGTAACGATAGGGTGACTGCAACATTTTACGAAAGTGGAAATGGAGATAACGAAAGGGGTCATGTGGATGAAGTCCAAATGTACTATGATTGCAGATATGTGTCTCCATGTGAAGCTATTTGGAGGTCTCTGGGTTTTGAAATTCAGTATAGAAGTGTCCCGGTGGAGAGGTTGAGCTTTCATCTTCCAAATGAGCAAAATGTCTATTTCGATGATTTTGATCCTATTGATGAAGTTGTTCGTAGAGAAACAGTGAAACAGAGTATGTTTTTGGCTTGGTTCAAAGCAAATCAAGTTTATCTTGAAGCACGAGAATTGACTTACGATGAGATGCCAATGAAGTTCGTTTGGAAACAAGCAACAAGAGAATGGGTACCAAGGAAGAAAGGTTTTGCAATTGGACGAGTGTTTTACGTACCACCTGGATGTGGTGAACAATTCTACCTTAGATGTCTTCTGAATGTAGTTTGTGGTCCAACATGTTTTGAAGATCTTATGAAGGTGGATGGTGTGCAATATAAGTCTTTTCGTGATGCTTGCTATGCATTGGGGTTGTTGGATGATGACAAGGAATACATTGATGCCATTGATGAAGCAAGTTTTTGGGCAACTGCATATGCTTTACGTAGATTTTTTGTTGCATTTTTGATTGCCGATTGCCTAAGTAGACCTGAAGAAGTTTGGGACAAATGCTGGACTTATTTGTCCGATGACATTCTCTACAGACAACGTTTGATGTTCAACCATCCTGGTAAGCATGTGTTATATTTTTATTCACTTTAATACTCACATAAATTTTACGAATTCTTGCTAACTGGTGTTTATTTTAATGTAGAACTCATTTTGAGTGAAGATGAAATAAAGAACTACACGTTGTTTGAAATTGAAAAATTGTTGCGTAGTTGTGGAAAGAGTTTAGAAGATTATGAGGGAATGCCAACTCCAAATGCTCAGTTTTTGTTCACCAATAGGAATCGGTTGGTGTATGATGAATTAAGGTATGATAGGGTGTCTTTGCTTGAAGAACATAAAAAATTGTTACATAGTTTGAATGATGAACAGTTCAATGTTTACAAAACGGTGCTCAAAGCCATTGATTCAAGTGAAGGTGGAGTGTTCTTTGTATATGGATATGGAGGAACTGGAAAAACATTCGTGTGGAAAACTCTTTCTGCAGCTATACGATCCAAAGGAGAAATTGTTTTAAATGTTGCTTCAAGTGGCATCGCATCTCTTCTCTTGCCCGGCGGTAGAACTGCACATTCTCGATTTAAAATTCCAATAAATCAAAATGAGGATTCTACTTGCAATATCAAGCAAGGCAGTGCACTTGCTGAGCTTATTGTGAAGTGCAAACTAATAATCTGGGATGAAGCTCCAATGGTGCACAAACACTGTTTTGAGGCTTTGGATCGTACGCTTCGTGATATTTTACGTTTTACAAATCCCATGAGTTTAGATTTTCCATTTGGAGGAAAGACTGTGGTGTTTGGGGGAGATTTTAGACAAATTCTTCCTGTCATACCAAAAGGAACGAGGCAAGATATAGTTAATGCAACTATAAACTCCTCTTATTTATGGAGATATGTAAGAGTGTTGAGACTAACCAAGAATGTGAGACTTCTTCACGGAGATTTTAGTCAAGCGCCTGAAGATCTAATTTCCTTTATCAAGTGGATTGCGGACATTGGAGATGGAATTATTGGTGGCGATAATGATGGTTGTTTTGATATAGAGATTCCTGATGATTTGTTGATTAAAGGTTACGATGATCCAATTGCATCAATTGTTCAAAGCATTTATCCTGAATTTGCAAGCAATGTAGATGATCCCAGTTACTTAGAAAAGAGAGCAATCTTGGCTCCGGCACTTGATGTTGTTGATGCGATCAATGATTACATGCTTAGAATGAATGGCGATGAATTAAGAACATATCTTAGTTCAGATAGTCCATGTAAATCAGATGCAAATGTCGATTTCTTAATCGACCTTCATACTCCCGAATTTTTAAATGGCATAAGAGCTTCTGGAGTTCCAAATCATAAATTGCATCTCAAAGTGGGGACACCAGTTATGCTAATAAGAAACATTGATCATTCAATGGGGTTATGTAATGGAACCAGAATGGTGATCACCAGGCTCGGTAATCATGTTTTGGAAGCAAAAGTCCTCACAGGAATCAGTGCAGGTGAAAAGGTGTTGATACCTAGAATGACTTTGACTCCATCAGATGTTCGGCTGCCTTTCAAGTTTCAAAGGAGACAATATGCTTTGATTGTCTCATACGCTATGACAATTAACAAAAGTCAGGGACAATCGTTGTCTAATGTTGGATTATTCTTACAGAAACCGGTGTTCAGTCATGGTCAGCTATATGTTGCTCTTTCACGTGTCACTGAGCGTGTTGGGTTGAAAATTTTAATACGTGACCAAGATGATAAAGATACAAATGTAACAAAAAATGTTGTATATAAAGAAGTGTTTCAAAATTTATAAAGACATTTATTACTATGTTTTTATCTATTCATTGTTATTTCATATTAGAATTGTATATATTATTCATATTAAATTAATATAGTGAACAATTTGAAGAATACAATTATTATACAAACACTTTCAAAAGTCTCGTGCATCGCACGGGTACTAAACTAGTTGGATAGAGTTTTGCTAAACCCTTATTTCTTGGATACTTTTAACAACATTCAGATTTCTTTATTGACCAAGACACCCTCTCACCATAACCCAATGGTAATTCATTTTGAAAGTCAATCTAATCAAGGCCCCAAGCATTTTAGATTCCAAAACATGTGGATAGCTCACTCCAACTTTATGGACTTTGTGACTCAACATTGGGCCTTTTATTCTACAGGAGGAGGTATGAGGGGTTTAATTATGAAATTACAGTGCCTTAAGAAGGACTTGAAGGATTGGAATAAAAATGTGTTTGGCAACATTTTTGATGACATTAAAAATTGTGAAGGTGAAGTTTTATTGGCTGAAAAACAGTTTGAGGAATGGCCTAGTGATGTAAATAGAGAAGATCTGGCTTATAAAAGAGGGTTGTTATTGAATAAACTTAATTTAGAGAGGAAATTCTTGAAGCAAAAGGCCAACATAAAGTGGATCAAGGAGGGTGATTCCAACACAAAGTTCTTTCACTCGTATGTGAAAATTAGAAACAAGATTCAAACAATTACCTCAATTAAGAACTCACAGGGCCAGAGCTTGACAGATACCATTGATATTGGTAAAACTGCAGCTGATTATTTTTCAGACTTATATTCATCAAAATCTGTGGGTGATTCTAGCCATATCCTGCAAAATATTCCAGTTATTATTAATCAAGAAGATAATAGCATGTTGACCAAGTTACCCAATATTGAAGAGGTTAAAGATGCAGTTTGGGGATTAAATCAGAACAGTGCAGCTGGACCGGATGGATTTAATGGAAAGTTTTTTAGGAAATGTTGGCAGGTGGTAAAGACAGACCTTCTTATGGCAGCTCAAGATTTCTTTATGTGGCACCCTATCCCTAAAGGCATGGCTAGTGCTATGATCACCCTTATACCAAAGAAAGACAGACCAATTTCATTTCATGAATTTAGACCAATATGTCTTTCCAATTTTGTTAGTAAAATTTGTACTAAAATTTTGACTAACAGATTGATATCTATTATGCCTAAAATTATCTCTAAGGAGCAAGCGGGATTCATGAAGAATAGAGATATTTCAGACCAAATTCTTATTGCCCAAGAAATGGTGCATTGTATTGACAAGAAGGTTAGAGGCTCTAACATGATTATCAAATTAGATATGGCTAAGGCCTTTGACAGAGTTTCTTGGGATTTCCTGAAGGAGGTTATTCTGAAATTTGGATTTAACTTGGAGTTTGTTAACCTGGTTTTGAACAATCTTTCTGCTACCTATCTGTCTGTTTTGGTTCATGGTTCTCCTCATGGTTTTTTTAAACCATATAGAGGAGTTAAACAAGGGGATCCCCTCTCCCCCTTTTTTTTCATTATTGCATCTGAAGCCTTTTCAAGGGGAATTCACAACCTCTTTCAGAAAGGTAAAATTAAACCTTACTGGTTGGGCTTAAATGGTTCTCCAGTCACTCATCTGGGTTTTGTTGATGACTTGCTTATCTTTCTTAATGGTGACTAGATCTTTATTATCTTTTAAGAAGTTTCTTGAGGAATATCAAAATGTTTCTGGTCAGTTGATTAACTTTGGCAAAAGTTCCTTTGTCTGTGGAAAAACCTTACCTGGTAGGCAGATCCACATCAAGAATTTGTTGGGCATGAATCAAGCCGCTCTTCCTATCAAGTATTTAGGGGTTCACCTTCACAAAGGAATAAACAAGATTAATTATTGTGGACCTATTATTGACCAGTTTGAAAAAAAGCTATCTCCTTGGAAACAAAAGATCCTGTCTCAAGGGGGAGGCTTGTTCTTATTAAACACGTGTTGAACACTTTGCCACTTCATATCATTGATGTAGATTCTTTACCCAGAAAGGTGGTTAAGATCTTAAACTCTAAGATGGCTTCATTTTTTTGGGGGTCAACTAATGAAAGGAAAAAATATCATTGGGCTAGTTGGGACAAACTCTGTTACCCTACTGAATAAGGAGGGTTGGGAATCAGATCATTATTGCATTTGGAGAAGGCTTTTCTATCAAAATGTGGTGGAATGGAAGACAGTGGACTCATTTTGGTCAAATTTTATTAGAACCAAGTATCAAAGAGGAGAAAACATGTTACCTAAGGTGTACGATTCAGCTATTTGGAGAAGAATTTGTAATGTCCATGAAGAAGCATCCTCTCTTTGTAGTGTGGATAATTCTGGTGTTTTGCTCTGGAATGGAGAAAGTAGTGGTCAGTTCAAATTTAAATCAGCATATGAACAGGTTAGAGCTGAAAAAGATAGCACATTCACACATAAACATATATGGCACCCCCAACAAGAACTCAAGCTAAAGCTATTTCAATGGAAGATTGTTCAAGGCCTTCTACCAACATCTGATCAGCTCAGGAGATTCAATCTAGTTTTAGAGCCATCAATGTGTGTAATGTGCAGAAGTCCGTCTGATAGTTTATCTCACTTATTTTATTGGTGTGATACTGTTAAGCCCATTTGGTACTATTTTATGAAGATATTTAGTATTCCCATTCCCACAGATGGCAATATCAATCAAATTTTCAGGAATTGGTGGATGAATGCTGGTTCAAGCAGTGCAATGGATATATTCAAACACAATATGGCTGGGATAATTTGCCAGCAGATTTGGAAAAAATATTCAAGTATAAGTTGGGGAAATAACATTGACATGCCTACTTCTCAATCCCTTATCACACAAATTAAGATCTATACTCGAAAGTGGGCGTGGTCTTTTCCTAAACTGAAGAATAGAGGGGTGGATAATATTCTTAAGGAAGAACAGATTGTATCGCCAAATTTCAGGGTTAAAGGTAACTCTATTCAGATTATTCGTTGGAGGAAACCTAATGGGCAATTTAAACTGAATGTAGATGCGAGTTACTTACCTGAAGGAGCAGCTGGTGGTGCGGTCATTAGAAACTCTTCAGGTGATTTGCTTTGGGCTGTTAGCTTCTCACTGACTGCCACCTCTCCAGTCGAAGTTGAACTTAAAACTTTACTAGAGGCGATTCGAAGAGCTACGGAGGAAGGCTTTGTTGGATTTCAGGTGGAATCTGATTCCAGCCGGGTTTTGGAGATGATTTGCGATGATAAAGTAAGAAGATGGGGGGATGTTATTCAGGAAACCCGGCTGCTTATTAATCAGAATGGCTTGTCTGTGAGTAATGTTTTGCGTGAAGGGAATTGGACCTCTCACTTTTTGGAGAAGGAGCATATGGGCTTAATAAAAAAAATTTAAGCCCATTATCACTTCCTATCCGAGCTAGGAGAGCCTACTGTTAGTATATATGTCCTAGTGACGATCACTTTTTAGAGATATATGTACTTGATCACATTCAGTTTTATATATTTGACATATACGGTATTACACATTGATGATTAAGCATTTCGATTGTCAATGTCTTATTCATAATTGTGTTCCCTTGGACTTATGTTGTCAATATGTAAGTGAGAGCTTATATGATATAACATAAGGTCCTAAAATAGCCCCGATCAATGATCATCAAGAAAGGGATATTGATGATATGCGATAAGATTGGTATGTGGACTGCATCATACTTTTAGAAAGTATAGTTGATCTCACAACTATGAGTTCTTGCAATTCATGATGGTCACATAGATATTTTAGAGAATATTGGCATACCCACCGAGAAACCATTTGATAAGTTCTATTCATGTGTCTATGGGATTATCGGCGTATAGAGTAGTGTAATAGTCCTCGGACTTGAGGTCAATACGTACTACATGTGCAGAGTGATGTACTTTGACCATGACCAACGCTTGCACTCCAATCGGGGTAGATACGGCATGTGTTGGGTGCATCACGAAGCACATGGAGTAGTAGTTGAGCCAAGAAAGGATTCATTCCTCGTAATATATTAAGAGAGAACATTCTACTTCTCATATCTAGATGGATCATAAAGTCATTGGCCAATGCAAAGATATATTCGTTTTGGATATCAAATATGATCGTTATGGATCATCTAGAGAGATTGAGAGATAGAGACTAAGTTATTGGAATAGACACAATATCAAGTTCCAGACTTAGTTGAATGTTCGTTGAATGAAAGGACCGTATCACTATGAGCTCTATATTAAAGGGAGTTTGAATAGTCCTCGCAAACGTCCTTATATATTAAGTTTGTCTGGTAAATCGTCTAGGGATTCTACTAAGACCTTAATTTGATTAGTGCTTAATATATAAGGCCCTATGGGTCACACAACAAGTGATTATACCTTCCGATTGAATTGTTAGAAGAAATTAAATATTATAAATTGGATTAAATAATATTTAATTAGTAATACTCAAAATGAATTAAATATTAATTAGATTAAACATATTTAATTCATGAAGTTGAAAGAAAGTTCTATTTGATAGAATTAATTAAGTAAAATAAATTAGATTTATTATACTTAATTAAGATGTATTTATAATTAAATAAAGTTGATATTTTCTTTTAATACAATTTGGAATTAGATTAAAATAAAAATCAAAATAATAATAAATAATAATATAACAATAATATATATGGAGTAAAGGTAGGGTAGCGGCTAAAGCCACTCCCTAGCCTTTCTCTTGTTGTTATTTTATTACTATTATTATTTATCATTTATATTATTTAATTGATATTTAATTAGTAAATGAAATAAAATAAATAATATAATAAGGGTGGAAAGTGGCGTGTAGCCCACTTCCCCCTTATTATGAATTAGTTTGTTTTATTTATTTATTTGATTAAATAAATGAGATTGGTCCTAATTGGATTAGAACTCATCAATGAGAAAGACTTTCATTGTGATTGAGAAACTAGTTTAGAACTACTATAAATACACTCTCCTCCTTCATAATTAATAGACCAGTTTTCATATTCAGTATTACCAGTTTATTTCCCTACGAAGAGATTTCCTAGCCTTTCTCTTAGGGAGATCTAACTGTTCTTTCGGAAAGGAGAAATCACGTGGATATCAAAGGTCAAGGATTATCACCGCTAGGCTGGAAGATCTGTAAGTTCTAACTTAGATTTGTTATTATTATCATATTCGTTATTTTGTCATAATCAGGGAAGATCTGTTTGGGAAAATTTTAAAACTTCCGCTTCCGTACTTTCGAGGTACGTTACAACAATTTCCTAACAGTGGTATCAGAGCCAAACTGATTCAAATGACATTATACGAATTTGATAATATTTTGTCCTAAACTAATTTACGAAATTGATTAGATTTGAAATTTGAAGATTTTTACTTATTTGATTTGTAAAATCAAAGTCTGCTAGAGGTTAATTTTAGAAATTAAAATAAATAAAATCTGGGTTTTTTCATTTGTAATCGGAAATCCTTTGTGTTGCGTAAATCAGAAAATTAGCTCGGCAATATTGTCATCTCCAAGATCTTGTTCTGCAATTCTAGTGACATCAAGGATTCAAACTGGACCACCATTAATGGTGTCTCGCACTTCAAAACGACCGGTAAGTGTAGCCGCGACCGGCGAGTTGCGGCCAACGAATCAGAGGATAGAATTCGCATCTACGACATCTTAAAAATCGTTCGTTACCTAGTCTAGCGAGTCGTGTCAATTAAAAGATTTGTTGGATTCAATCTTTGCAAATAGATTTTCCATCTACCGTTGTAATTTTGTTGGGCAACGTGATTTTTCTGATGTGATCGGCAAATCCGAAGCGAATTTTTCTACTGCGCATGATTAGGAGATGACTCGTCTATTTCAGGACTTCTTCTATTAACTTTACGATAGTGGTAGTAAAGTTTTAGGGATGATTTTTAAATTAAGATCATTTTAAATAAAATAATTGTGATTGTAATTTTTAAGCATGCTTTATCTTAATTATTTGATTTGATCGATAATTATATTATTATCATTTGTTTTTAGCATGCTGATATTAATTGTTGTTTATCTCTGTTTATAAATTAGAATTATATTGCATGATTTAATTTTACATGTCTCAGTTAGATCTCATTAACATATTATTTGATAATATGTTTTAGCATCTTGATTAAGTAATTTAATACCCCGTTAAATGTTCCCCATCAATTAAAATTTAAGTCTTATCTGGGATAACGACATCACCCATCATAATTAAATTAGTAGAAATATTTTTTCGTTGAAGAATATTTCACCCAAGTGTTTATTCCATTCGACAAAATATAGAACTAATTTATAGGTACAATTGGTTATGATCGTGTGATGGTTTTGACTTACTTAAATTAGCTCGAGTCGCCCAAGCGTCAGTGTTAATTTAGGGATGTCGATCAATTTAAAAATTGATCAACCAAGAGTTGTTTGGACACAATTGGTCTAGGGACCTACCCATTATATTATTACAGTGATCAGCCCAAGCTGGGACTGTAATAGTATGAATGTGGATCTTGGCCACTATGATTGTAAAAGATTCCATGTTCTTTTTATTGGGGTCAAAGAGCATGAAAATAGTGGGAGCTAAATAATTAAAAGCCTGAATTATTTAGTTAACTAAATGTGATCATAAGAATTATTATATGATTTTAATTCCCGTTCTATTTGAAGTTCTCTAGGCTTTTAAGAATGTCGAATTTATCAATGAGAAGTATCTTGGATACAAATAATCTGACTCGATCAGACTTTCTAGACTTCGAACAAAATGTGCATTTAGTGTTTAGGCAAGAAAATATTGAGATGTGTTTGACACCTGTCTACCCGAGGTTCCTAATCTGAACTCTTCTGAATTAGTTATATTTGACATAGACATTCAGAAGAATAACATTGCTAAGGTAAGCTCTACTGCTGAATCTTTTTCTACGGGAAAGAACAAGCAGAAGAAGAGAAGTAAGGTTAGACCTAAGCCTCTAGCTTTGAAACCTAAAGGTGGGATTCAAAAGAAACCTAAGGTACTAAAGGATGTATGCATCTACAACAAAGATAAGGCATTGGAAGAGAGGTTTTAAGATATGTAGGGCTAATCTAGCCAAAGCATCGAGTGCTTTTAGCTTAGGTATTTTTGTCATTAGTATTAATATGTCTACAACTAACTCTCACTGTTGGGTATTAGATACAACGTGTGGCTCACACACTGGAATAATGTGTAAAGTCTAAGTGACAGTAAGCAGTTAGACTGAGTGAAATTGGCCTACAAGTAGAAAATGGAGCAATAGTTGCTGCTAGGCATGTAGGCATTTATAAATTAGATTTACCCAGTGGTTATAGTTTAGAACTAAATAATTGTTATTTTGTTGCTTCTAAAACAAAGAATATAATTTCCATTCATATGTTAGACATTAAGGGGTTTCCTTACATTTTGGTGATAACACTTGTTATTTTTGACAAAGTGACATTGTGTATGGAAATGTCCCTCTTATGAATGGTTGATATATTCTTATTTGTAGGCATGACATATTAAATGTACAAAATAAGAGACCGAGGTTAAGTAATTAGAAAAATACCACCCATCTTTGGTATTGCGATTTGGCCATATTAGTGAAACAAGAATAACAAGGTTAAGTAAATTAGATTACTTAACACCATATGATTTTGAATCATATGGTAATTGTGATTCCTGTCTTTTAGCTAAAATGACCAATATACCTTTTCTTGGAAAAGGATTGCGGGCCAAAGAAGTGTTTGAATTGATTCACACAGATGTGTGTGGACTGTTTGCAACTCAAGCTAGAGGAGTATTTTCTTACTTCATCATTTTACTGATGATTTCTCTAGGTTTGGTTTTTGTGTATCTTATGAAACACAAATCAGAAACTTTTGAGAAATTCATGGAGTATAAGGTTGAAGTAGAGAAACAACTTGACAAGAGTATCAAGACTCTACGATCTGATTGTGAAGTGGAATACTTGAGTAAGGAGTTTTTTGATTACTTGAAAGGTCAAGGAATTCAGTCACAATGGACTCCTCCAGGAACACCTCAATTGAATGAGGTTTTTGAAAGGAGAAATAGAACCTTGTTGGACATGGTTAGGTCCATGATGAATTCCACATCTCTTCCAACATCTCTTTGGGGGTACGCATTGGAAACCTCAATATACGTTCTGAATAGAGTTCCATCTAAGTTAGTGCAAAAGACACTATACGAGTTATGGTGTAATAAGAAGTCTATTCTTACACATATTAAAGAGTGAGGTTGCCTTACATATGTGAAGAAAATGGACATTGACTAGTTGAGACCTAGAAGTGAGAAATATTATTTTGTGGGGTATCCTGAGGAAACTAGGGATACTAATTTATCTTCCCGGGGGATATAAAATCATTATTTCCAGACAAGCGAGATTCCTAGTACAAGACTTGGTCTTTAAGGAATGTAATTGTGGGAGGATAGAACTTGATGAAGTTCAAGAATCACAAAATAATATAAAGGACGAAGACTTGTTAGATAGTCAAAACAAGGATTCAGTAGGAGAATTGAGTGGAAGCATGTCTCTAGGAAGATGTCTTTCAGTTAGTGGGAGTAACATAGGAATCACCTCGCACCAGCACGTGATTCTTATGAAAGAAACAAATGACACGGTTGTCATTCTTTCTGCACCCACTTCTCCTTCTCTTGAAACAATTAAAAGTGTAGCACCAGAAAACTCTCCGAACATTGGATAGTCCAATGAAGGAGAACCTCTTCACAATCAGAATGAATAGCCTGAACAAACACAAAATATTCAACTTTGTAGGTCTACTAGGATTCATCATGAATCAACTAGGTTTGGCTTCCACATGGAGGATCATGATGATGTAAAAATTCATGACAAGGATGAACCTAAGACCTAAACCTAAACCAATATTAGATGTTGATTTAGAGAGGTGGCGAGAAGCCATAAAATCTAAAATGTACTTGATGTATATCAATCAAGTATGGAACTTGGTTGACTTGCCTGTTCGGTTAGACCCATTGGATGCAAAATGATTTTCAAGGAGAAAATTAATGCTGAAGGCAAGGTGAAAACATACAAAGCTAGGCTAGTGGCTAAAGGTTATAGTCAAAGAAAAGGAATTGACTATAGTGATACCTATTCGCCAGTTGCAAAACTCAAGTCCATTTGGATTTTGCTTGTTATAGCTGCTCAATATGATTATGATATTTGACAAATGGATGTCAAAACCCCTTTCCTTAATGGAAATCTCAAGGAGGAGGTGTACATGGTACAACCTGAAGGTTTTCTATTTATGGGCTAGAACAAGCATCTAGGAGTTGAAATAATAATTTTGATGAAAAAGTCAAACCGTTTGACCTCATCAAATGAAATGAGGGTGCTTGCGTGTTTAGAGTGCGCAACAAGGATAGTGTGGTCTTTATAATCATATATGTTGATCATAGAGAATGATATCCCCTCATTGAAGTCCGTGAAAGAATGGTCACCCAAAATATTCATGAATATCTTTTGTCTATAGTAGACAGAAAGAACTAGTAGAATTTAACTATTCTAGCACTAGTTTCATGTATGATAACAAAGACTACGAGTCATAGTCAGTATATGTATTTAGTCTCAATGTAATAGTAATGCTAGCAAATTCGACAACTAGAGCCTAGTAAATTGTTGCACTTGATGCAACATAGGTAAGCGTTTAGATACGTTAGTTCCTTAAAGAAATAGGGGTAGTTCCTAGCGACAGTTATCCAATAATTGTTATTGTGACTGTACCGGTGCATTTGCACAAGGTAAGGAACCAATATGCAAAGTAAGGAACTAGAAAATACCAGTATGCTATCATGTTTTGATAACAGATAGCAAGATGAGAAGTTGCAATAGAATGACTTCCCGTAGAGGACAATTTGGCTGGCCCTTTCACCAAACCTTTGAGATACGAGAAACACACTAAACTTTTGAGAGTCTAGGTGTTAGACGCATCGGTGATTGGCACTAGGCCAAGTGGGAGATTGTTAGTATATATGTCCTAGCGACAATCACTTTTTAGAGATATATGTACTTGATCACATTCAGTTTTATATATTTGACATATATGGTATTACACATTGATGATTAAGCATTTCGATTGTCAATGTCTTATTCATAATTGTGTTCCCTTGGACTTATGTTGTCAATATGTAAGTGAGAGCTTATATGATATAACATAAGGTCCTAAAATAGCCCCGATCAATGATCATCAAGAAAGGGATATTGATGATATGCGATAAGATTGGTATGTGGACTGCATCATACTTTTAGAAAGTATAGTTGATCTCACAACTATGAGTTCTTGCAATTCATGATGGTCACATAGATATTTTAGAGAATATTGGCATACCCACCGAGAAACCATTTGATAAGTTCTATTCATGTGTCTATGGGATTATCGGCGTATAGAGTAGTGTAATAGTCCTCGGACTTGAGGTCAATACGTACTACATGTGCAGAGTGATGTACTTTGACCATGACCAACGCTTGCACTCCAATCGGGGTAGATACGGCATGTGTTGGGTGCATCACGAAGCACATGGAGTAGTAGTTGAGCCAAGAAAGGATTCATTCCTCGTAATATATTAAGAGAGAACATTCTACTTCTCATATCTAGATGGATCATAAAGTCATTGGCCAATGCAAAGATATATTCGTTTTGGATATCAAATATGATCGTTATGGATCATCTAGAGAGATTGAGAGATAGAGACTAAGTTATTGGAATAGACACAATATCAAGTTCCAGACTTAGTTGAATGTTCGTTGAATGAAAGGACCGTATCACTATGAGCTCTATATTAAAGGGAGTTTGAATAGTCCTCGCAAACGTCCTTATATATTAAGTTTGTCTGGTAAATCGTCTAGGGATTCTACTAAGACCTTAATTTGATTAGTGCTTAATATATAAGGCCCTATGGGTCACACAACAAGTGATTATACCTTCCGATTGAATTGTTAGAAGAAATTAAATATTATAAATTGGATTAAATAATATTTAATTAGTAATACTCAAAATGAATTAAATATTAATTAGATTAAACATATTTAATTCATGAAGTTGAAAGAAAGTTCTATTTGATAGAATTAATTAAGTAAAATAAATTAGATTTATTATACTTAATTAAGATGTATTTATAATTAAATAAAGTTGATATTTTCTTTTAATACAATTTGGAATTAGATTAAAATAAAAATCAAAATAATAATAAATAATAATATAACAATAATATATATGGAGTAAAGGTAGGGTAGCGGCTAAAGCCACTCCCTAGCCTTTCTCTTGTTGTTATTTTATTACTATTATTATTTATCATTTATATTATTTAATTGATATTTAATTAGTAAATGAAATAAAATAAATAATATAATAAGGGTGGAAAGTGGCGTGTAGCCCACTTCCCCCTTATTATGAATTAGTTTGTTTTATTTATTTATTTGATTAAATAAATGAGATTGGTCCTAATTGGATTAGAACTCATCAATGAGAAAGACTTTCATTGTGATTGAGAAACTAGTTTAGAACTACTATAAATACACTCTCCTCCTTCATAATTAATAGACCAGTTTTCATATTCAGTATTACCAGTTTATTTCCCTACGAAGAGATTTCCTAGCCTTTCTCTTAGGGAGATCTAACTGTTCTTTCGGAAAGGAGAAATCACGTGGATACCAAAGGTCAAGGATTATCACCGCTAGGCTGGAAGATCTGTAAGTTCTAACTTAGATCTGTTATTATTATCATATTCGTTATTTTGTCATAATCAGGGAAGATCTGTTTGGGAAAATTTTAAAACTTCCGCTTCCGTACTTTCGAGGTACGTTACAACAATTTCCTAACACCTACTACATGGACAAATTTGGCATTCCATCACTTAGATTTTGATTTTTGTTATTATTGATTATATTTTCAATTGGGTCAGGTCTAGCCCCCCCAATTGCGTTTTTTTTCCTTCTGTTTTCTGTTTTTTACGGGAGGTATGCCTCCTTGAAAGGTTTTGGTATACTCCCCCTTTCCATTGTACTCGATTTCTTTTTAATAAAACTTGGTAGATGTTCCCCGGCATCTACCCCACTGATTTTGGTGGTTTGCCTTCCGAGTTTAAAAAAAATTATATATATATTTTATATTAGTATATATATTAATACAAATAAACCAAAACATTAACATTAACCAAAATCTCAAACATTTTATTTATATCTCAAGATTTCATATGAATGTACATGATTCATAGGGGCATACCCCGGAAATCATTAATGTAATTAAGTACAACTCAAAAAACAAAACACAAGTTACAATTATAGGACATAAAACAATCTTGAAGTGCCAAGCCCCGACAATGGCATTCTTATGGAAGTAATCAACAACACGTGCTCCCTTTTCCCCATTCACATCAACTTGTCACCTGTGATAACAATAACAAAATGCATGATTGGAGAAGTATTAAAAAAGATCACTTATCACTTTCGATAATAGAGAATTTAGTAAAAAAAAGTACAATGCATGAGAGAGATAGAGAGTGTGAGAAAAACCAAATAACATATTGGGGAGAGTGTGTATGAGATAACCAAATAACACTTATCATTTTATCATTTTCTCAATGATACTAGATAATAACTTATCAAACTGAATCACAGGGACAAACAATACAAATAACTTATAGCAAGTGAAATACCAGCCAAAGATGAATGCCAATGTATATTTTGATGAGTACACAGACATACCCTGCCACCCGCATTTATAAACTCAATTTTCTTTCCTGCACAACATTAAAAAAATCCTATCAGAAGCTCGGCTGCAAAGTAACTTGGTATTTCAAGAATTGATGATTGCAAATTAATCCACATATAAATAAGCCAGTGGATTGAATCTAGTACAAGGTGGGGCCAAAAAATAGTTGCACGGACAATGACCCTGAATGCAAGGCCAATTGAGCAGTATTCTTTAGTAATAGCTGGTTCAATTGATCTGTAGGCTGTACTCAGCGAGGGGGGAAAATGGATAGCCATGACCCTATAAAACAGTGGAGCATGAGTCGGGATCCAAACTATCAACAAAAGCTTTATCCTTCTTTTCCCGAGAATGATAAATCCAATTACTAGGAAACTGGTCGCTATCTGCTTCTACTTCAACAGCTTTTTCAATAACCTGTGAAAAAAACCTTTTCTGTTAAACAAATCATAATTGTGAAATTATCTTACCGTTGACTTTTCCAGGCTTTTTGCCCCACCGATAATGGAATAACAATTCACTAGGGAAGCGGCTGCTATCCGCATCAACATCAACTGAAAACTCTGTAACCTATTCTCAAGTGTCTATACCGCATGAAAAGGGAATAAAAGATATAATTAATTGACTAAACATTAAAAGTAAGAAAGAAACCTCTTTTATGCACTTCAATAGTGATTCACAACTTTCTTTGGACATGCTTGAAGCGATCTGCATTGGATGAACTCTTGCCTGTCAAATTGAACAGAAACATTATGAGACAATGTTTTGGATGTGACCAACTATAAAAATATGCAACAGATTGACTTAAGGGAAGGGACAAAGGACAACAAAAGAATGAAACAATTTGGCCAGAACAAGAGCTATGAAGCAGGGATACTTTTAAATAAGCGAAGTATCTTGAGAGGGATCATGTTTTGCTTCAAACAATCTATGGTAGGAATATTATAGAAACTGATTGCAATATCACATATAATCTGATACGGCCCATTCTGGACACTGGAGCAGCCAACTGGTAATTGCAAGGATTTGATCATGAAATGGTTGTTTTTCTTTTGTATTCAGATTCAGCACGTATCATGGTAGCCAGTAGTTGAATAAAGAGTCTGATTTCACAACAACACATGGGTATTCTCATATTCATTTTCATTTACATCAATGAGATGAATGCAGCAAGCATATCAGGGTTTGGTGTGAGAAGAAAAAGTTGGTTGCTACTTGTGAAGGTCTAAAATCTCAATCAAATAGAGAACAAGAAAAAAAGCAGACAGGTAAAACTGTAGAGAAAAAACGTGTTGACTAGCGATGAACAAAAGAAAGTAGTGGGCTAGAGAGCGGACATATAAAGTTCTAATGTTATAGTTGTGTAAAACACTCAACATTTCATTATTTTATTTTAACTAAAAGCTTCATATATATACCAATGAAAAGCAAGTCTTTTTAGTGAAACTACTTTAAGAGAGCAAACTTTTGTAGCAAAATGGTCCATCTTTTGCATAACATTGAAGACATAAGACCTCAACGATAAGCCTCCCCTATGTGAGGTATAAGCTTTTCATAAGTATGATCTTAATCTTGTTAAAATATTACAGACAAGGTTGATGGCAGAGAGAAGAAAGGCCCACTCACTTGATATAGCACCTCATCTGCAATCTAGTTGGCAATACCAGATATAAAACCCTGCAGAAACAATGCCATGTCAAAAATTGATGCAATTGAAAATGAAATATCAGCATTTCTACATGGAAAATCTGCAATATAGTGCTTACATCATGACCTACATGGGGGAAATGAACTGTTGTCATAGCTAGTACCTTTTCCAAAAGTGATCTATTCAACTCCGACCTAGGAGTCCTTTTATTAGAACAAATCTTGAAAATGGAGTCTTTTAACCAAGTAACCCTAGCAAAATCAAAGTCCATAAGATAAGTGATTCCTTGCTTTGTTTCACAATGCGTATAGAATTGCAGTCAAAGACTTTAAATTGAAAGAATCTGCTTTCAACGACAAGCTCATCCGTTAAAATGGGAGCAAATAGTAAATCACCTAGAGCTTTTTCACATACCTTTGCCTCCCACCTTCTAAGTGAACTGAGCTCCCATGTCGCAAGTGGGAGGGCTTCCATAGCTGCCAATTCGAAGGCCAGGGATTCTGGCTATGACCACTAATCGGAGTTGCCCAGAAATTCAGACCAGCAGATTGGACCCAGGGCTAGTTCCGTTCGCGTCTCTGCAGCCGTCGCGCCTGGTTGCCGGAAGCTCTGCACCGCACTTGGAAATCCCTTGGCTGGTTCTAGACAGCTCAAGGTTGGACACAACGAGAAAGCTTCGTCCATGGAGGGTCACTGTAGCGGTGAAATCCCCATCGCGAGTCCCTGAAATTGCAGCAACGGATTGTCCCCGTACACTTCCTATCGCAAGGATGATGATCCGGCGCCGATTCGGTAGTGATCGATCGGTAGCCCCCTTGCCGTCATAGCCCCCTCTCCTTTTGAGCAACGAGAATAGCTCACTCTCTCGTAGGAGTGCTAGGGTTCGAAAGAAATTTTAAGAGACCAGAGAAATTTTATGTGTTAAATATGACAAAATAATGTTAAAAGGAAATAAAATAGGGTGTGAATGTCACTATCTGATATTGATATTATTGTGTCAGAAACTAATGACACATTTACATCGTAAAAAAGATATGTCGTATTTTTGTGACACTCTATTAAAAAGTATCACTAACAAAGTGTAACTATAAGCCTGTTTTCTACTAGTGTTTTAACACATTTTTCCAACAATCCCCCACATGAATGAAAATTGATTTTCGAGACTTAAAAAGACACGAAGATAGGAGGACACGTAGTGTTCACTGGATGATCCCTGCATACGGAGAGGTGGGTTTTATCTTTTGAACCTTCCGTTGTAAAGACATGTTTATTTACTGGCTGTCTAGTAGACTCGATGTCCTTGAACTATACTGTCGTCATGTAAACATTGACTTATCTTTACACAGGAAACTTCCAACTTTGTTCCGTTCTCATGGGTGTGCCCGTTTTGGCCATGGGTCACCGCCTTGGTTCAGCAAGAGTTTCTAAAGAGCTGAGTCTTTACAGTTCTCCTTTGAAGCGACCCTCTTCTCTCTCACATAGGTGATTCTTTCATCAGTATCCCGCATACTCTTCCAATGTTATCGAGTAGATCAACATTTCAGAATCATTAAAACAAACATTTTTGCTAACCTCATACGGGAGTCACTGTTTCAACGAGCAGTGAGTAGGAGGCCGGGACCCCCACAGTGACCATCCTTCGCTCTATAATTTAGTTGTCCCTTTTGAACCTAGGACCAACTAGGTTGGGTATCCACTATATAACTTTTCAATTCACGGGCTTTAGTCCCGTTCCTCGTGACAACTTCTCCAACAATTCTACATCCAATGCCTTGGTTAGCGGATCCGCTATGTTATCCTCTGACTTCACGTAGTCAACAGTGATAACACCTGTTGTGAGGAGTTGTTTAATGGTGTTATGTCTACGACGAACGTGTCTAGACTTACCATTATACATGTTGCTCTGTACCCTTCCAATTGTCGCTTGATAATCGCAATATATGCATATTGGAGGGACAAGCTTTTCCCAACTTGGAATATCCTCGAGAAAATGGCGTAGCCATTCAGCCTCTTCAGTGCACTTATCCAAGGCTATTAGCTCCGACTCCATCGTGGATCTAGCTATTATCGTTCGTTTCGATGATTTCCATGACACGGCTGCACCTCCCAAAGTGAAAACATATCCACTTGTGGATTTAGAGTCCTTAATGTCGGATATCCAACTAGCGTCGCTATACCCTTCAAGTACAGCTGGATATCTTCCATAGTGCAGTCCAAGGTTTTGGGTTTTACGTAAATACCTCAAAACCCTTACTATTGCCTTTTAGTGTTCATCACCGGGGTTACTAGTATATCTACTTAGCTTGCTAAGCACAAAGGCAATATCAGACCTAGTACAACTCATTAGATACATAAAGCTTCCAATAATCCTAGCGTATTCTACTTGAGAAATACACTCTCCAAGATTTTTGGTAAGGTGTACGTTTTTATCTAATGGAGTCCTTGCCTCTTGATAATCATCCTTATTAAATTTTGTAAGGATTTTATCAACGTAATGGGATTGGCTTAATGTTAGACCGTCAGGTCCCCTAATTATTTTAATCCCAAGGATTAAATCGACCAGCCTCATATCCTTCAAGTCAAATTTAGAATTTAACATGCTTTTGGTAGAATTAATTATTAGATTATTGCTACCCACGATGAGTATATCATCCACATATAAACATAAAATGACATTGTCATCTACTGTGCTTTTCACACAGACGCATTTGTCACTTTCGTTTATTTTAAACCCATTAATTAACATTGCATGATCGAACTTTTCGTGTCACTGCTTAGGGGCTTGTTTCAATCCATACAGTGATTTAATTAATTTACACACTTTCCTTTCTTGGCCAGGAACACGAAAGCCCTCGAGCTGTTCCATATAGATTTCTTCATCTATATCGCCATTTAGAAAAGCGGTTTTTTACATCCATTTGATGAACTTCCAATTTCCGCGATGCGGCAGTTGCTAGTATCATCCCAATGCAATTTATTCTCGTCACAGGAGAATATGTTTCAAAGTAATCATGGCTCTCACGTTGCTTGTATCCCTTGATTACAAGTCTGGCCTTGTACTTGTCGATGGAACCGTCAGGTTTCATTTTCCATTTAAAAATCCACTTGGATCACAAAGGTTTATTTCCCGGAGGAAGATCAACCAATTCCCACGTGTGATTTTGTAGGATAGAATCCACCTCACTTTTAATGGCTTCTTTCCACATTGGACCTTCGGTAGACGTCACGGCTTCCGTATAAGTCCGTGGTTCATTTTCTACCAAACATGTTAGAAAATCCGGTTCATTTTCTATCATACATGTTAGAATATCTGAGTCAAATTCTACCATGTATGTAAGAAAATCCGGTCCGAAGGATTTTTCAATTCTAGCACGTTTGCTACGTCTGGGTTCGGCTTCTTCTTTTTCAGAGCCCTCGCTGGTATTTTCCATAGCTACGTCAAATGTTTGTTTTGACGTGATTGTTCCTTCATTTGACTTGCATGAAAATACGTTTTCATAGAATGAAACATTCATTGATTCAATAATTGTGTTTTATTGTACATCCGGATTATTCGAATCGTACACTAAAAATCGATAAGCACTACTATTTTGTGCATACCCAATAAAAATACAATCCACCGTTTTTGGTACTATTTTTAGTTTCTTAGGTGTTGGTACAAGCACTTTTGCAAGACACCCCACACTTTTAAATATTGATAGGAAGGCCTTCTACCTTTCCACAACTCGTACGAAGTTTTATCATATTTTTTCTAGGGAACCTTATTTAAAAGGTAATTGCTTGACAAGACTGCTTCGCCCCACATATTTTGTGACAGGCCCAAACTTACTAGCATCGCATTCATCATATCTTTCATTCGGCAACACCGTTTGATTGAGGTGAATATGGTGTGGTACGTTCATGTACTATACCCATGCTCGCGCAAAAGTCACCAATTGGTGCTTCATACTCACCACGTCGATCACTTCTAATCGTTTTAATCCGTCGATTAAGTTGGTTTTCCACTTCATTCTTATAAAGAATGAATTTATCGATTGCTTCGTGTTTATTTTTTAATAAATAAACATAGCTATAACGAGTGCTATCATCGATAAAGGTAATAAAATATTTATTACCGCCACGTGTTTGTAATGATTTTAAATCACAAACGTCACTATGAATTAATTCAAGTGGTTCCGTTTTTCTTTCAACCGATTTGAAAGCGTTTTCGTTAGTTTTGCCTCTACACAAACTTCACATTTGTGCTTCACATCGATTGTGAATTTAGGAATGTGTCCATATTAATTAATTTACGTATATGTTGGTCCAAAATAGGACGCTCGTAGGCTTTTAGGAAAGCTACGTACGACACTCAAGCAATAATTAGGAAAGTACGAATATGGAAAGTTAGCCAGAAATAGCATATCTGTATTTGAAATTCGAATTGCCTTTTATAGGCGATTACAAATGGTAACTGCCGAACATAATAATGACTAAATTAATTACAACATTAATACGGAATTAAACACATAATTAAGTTGCGCATTGATTGTTGGCCGTTACTCTTCCTCGCTAGCAGGTCAGCCTGGCAGGCAGGCTGGACGCTTGAGTTCCCTCCTGCTGGACTCGACGGTGGGCTTCCCGCTAGGCTGGAGGAAGGCTTCTGACCGGGCTGGAGGCAGGCTCCCGGGTAGGCTGGAAGGCAGGCTCCCGGGTAGGCTAGAAGGCAGGCTCCCCGTTGGGCTGGAGGCAGGCTCCCACCTGGGCTGGACCGTAGGCTCCCAATTGGGTTGGATCGCAGGCTCCCAGCGGGGCTGGTGGTCGGCAGGCTCCTGGCTAGGCCGGAAGGCAGGCTGCCCACTGGGCTGGAAGGCAGGCTCCCCACTGGGCTGGAAGGCAGGCTCCCTGCTGGGCTGGTCGACATGCTCTCTTGGGCTTCGGCTCCTTGATTGCCCTGATTAGTTGGGCCGACTCTAGGTTGCTGGGCTTGGGCCCGCTGGTCCAAGTTCGGGGCCTGGGCCGATTAGGCTCTGGGCCTGGTCCCATAACCCCATCACGAGTCCCCCACTCCCTTAGTCGAGTGGTAGACTCGGCTAAGAGGAAGTAGTTCAGGTCAGCTGCCCATTAAAAAATATTCACATATCAGGGAGCCATAATTGTGGATTCTGTCAATCCCACAATTTATGGAGATTTCCAAATTTCGAATAAGGCACCCAACTTTAAAAGGCCCCAAATTAATTCCCTTAGCGTTCTAGCATTCCAGCAGCAAGCTTTCTCCCAGACTTCAGGATCCAGGTCACCTTCAAAAAATCCCTGAAATTCATTTTTATTACTTCATAAATTATTTTCGGACTTTATTTTATTTTTCCTTCCTTTTCTTTCCTTTCCTTTTCTTTCCTTTCCTTTTCTTTTCTTTCCTTCTTTTTTCTTTCCTTTTTTTTCTTTCCTTTCTTTTTTCTTTCCTTTCTTCTCTTTCCTCTCTCTCCTGCGACCTGCGTCCGTCTTCCTCGCGTCGCCCCAGCGCCGCCGCCGTCAACCAGGGGCCGCTGCAAACCGGTTGGCCGCCTCCCTGATCCAGCGTCTCTGTCGGGTCGGTCCCTGCTGCGCCAGCCCCTGCTACGCACCACCCGCCGGCGGACGGTGTCGCCCCCGCAATCCAGCGGTTCTAGCCGGTGGGCCTGGATCCCATGTCTAGCCGACCCACCTACTCAGCTGGTGGTCTTTCCGCTCTTGGTCAGCGTCGCCAGGGGCTGGTGGCCCGGCGGTCCCCCGAGTCGGGCACCCGGGCGGCATTCTTCTCTCAGGCGGCCAGACCGCCTGCGGCCGTGCGTCCCCCAGGCCATCTTCCCCAACGGCCGGCACAGACCGGAGCTTGAGTTGGTCGGGGCGTCCCGTGCTGGTCAGCGGCTCCCTAGGGCGATAGCGTGCTAACCGACGTCCCTTGCCTAGCAATTGGATATTGAACTCTACCCATGTCGAACGTCCACACCATAGGGCTGACGGCAAGCCGGAACCCCGTTGCTGCCCATTGCGCGGCAGATGCGACGGTCTCCTATTGATGGCGACCATCTTCCTGCTGCCCGGCTGAGTCCCCATCAAGCGCGACACTTCGTATTTTCATTAATTCTTGTAGCTCTTTTTTTTAATGTGAGCAGGCGCGCTCCTTTCAGTTTGGTCATGCAGGGCGGCAGATGCTCTCCCCATGAAAACAATGATCATACGGATTCAGGATTGTCGGCTATTATTGAAGCAGAGCGCGGGGCGGCCGCGAGACCCATGTGGGTCAGCCACGGCCCTCGGCCACGTATGCATGCGGGTGTTACTACTGGGCGGCAAGCTGATGTTCTCCCTGAGTTGGCTCCAGCTAGACGGGTTGCTACTTCTGAGGGACGACCCCTCGATGTTCCAGACAGAGCGTGCATCCAACCTGTGAACGTACCAGACTCTGACGATGATTCTGATACTCGGGTGGACTTGGATTCCTGGTGGGACCTTGATAGCAACGGAATACCGGATCTCCCTTCTCGCGTCACAGAAGGGGACCTCGTCATAGCATATAGTCTGATTGGTGATAATTGTTTGTTGGAACCTCCGGTGGCCACTGACGTATTGAGCGATCCACCAGCTTCCTATTTCGGGGTCCATATCCGCTCACTGGAGTTAGGGATGGCCGTGCCACTGCACCCCTTCCTGGTTCGGTTCCTTCACTTTTTGGGTGTGGCCCCGGGTCAATTGGCTCCGGCGGCTCACATGTTCGTTGCTGCTTTTGTGGCGCGGTGTGAGGATGTGGGCCTCATACCCATGATTGATCTAATTTTCAGTTGCTTCCATTGGCGTGCTTCTAGCTTTTTCGCCTTACTCTCCCAGAGGCCGGTGAGCAAACTGTTTCGGTCGGGTTACCCCCGTTCAGGGAAAGGGTGGAAGAAGAGATGGATATGGGTATCCGACCCTAACCTTCTGTCACCTCTGCCTCAGTGGGGTGAACGGGTTTGGAAGTGTGACCGGGTCGCTCTCTCCCCTGGTCTCAAGTCCTCCATCGAGGTATTGTCCGCAGGCGGTCCCCACTCCATCAGCTCATATTTAGGTGATTGTCATCTTTCTGGTCTATGTTTGCTACTTTGTATTTTATTCTGCTTATCCTCACATTTTTCTTCCGCAGCTGTGCCTGAGAAGCTCGTTGTTGAGGCGGAATCCGATGAAGAGGAGGAGCCTCAACAAGTCATCGTTCATGCGGCAGCAACGGCTGCAAAGGGGAAAGGGCACGGAGCCCCCCCTCCAAGAAGGGTGAGAGTTACCTTCGGGCCTCGGCCAACTACGCCAGTGCAGGAGAAGCACAAGGGCGGGCTCGTCGACCTGCTAGTCAAATTGGATGGGTCCGATGAGGAGGAGGAGCCCTGCCCCGCCGTTGCTGATGTGGCCCCCAAGACGGTTGCAGGGAAAGAGTGCGGAGCCTCCTCCCCGGGCCGAGGGGAACGAGTCTCGAAGAAGTCCAAGGTCACCCCCAAGTTTCATTCCGCTGAGCAGGTACATGAGGGTGCAGATGAGAGGATGGCCGAACGGAGCAGCCATGACACCCAGCATACAGTTACTTACGCCTTCCCATCTTCGAGTGCCTCGATTATGCATGAAGGATTCCCAGTCGTGGATTATGCTTCATCAATCCTCCCACCAGGCGACCTCACCTGTACGACTTCCCAAGAGTTTCATCCCCCCTTGGAAGGTTCTATCCGGTCACATATCGAGGTAGGTTGATCACGTTTTGGCGTGGATTGTGTTTATCCCTGAACCCCCTCACATTTTTGTTTTTCTATTTTGCAGGGGCTCGCCAAGACCATCAGGTCACTCCACGCAGCCAATCATTCTCAGGCCAGACTTCAGCGTGAGGCTGACGAAGCTAGGGCTGTCCTGTGGGCTAGCCAGAAAGCCTTCTCCGAGCTACGGTCCTCGCATGCACAAGAATGTGAAGAAGCGGCCAAACAAGGAGCCAAGAAAGCGCTCTCCGAGTTCCAGGCCTCCGAGCAGTTCCAGAAGCTCATCTCTGCGAGGGTGCAAGCAGAACATTCTGAACTAGTGCAGAGGTGGCTGACGACCCCTGACGGAGAGTATTGGCGCGCTCGCGAAGTCCTCTATGCTTTTCAGAGTGGCAAGTATTTGGTGCAGCAGAAGGTGTATGGCCGGTTGAAGGATCTCGACCCTGACTTTCATCCATCCACACTTGGCCTTTCTGGCCCATGAAGAAACCCGTGGGGGCGATAGCCCTTCTTCCCCCAGAGGCCGTCCGTCAGGAGGAGGAGCCTGGTAGTTCGAACGAATGGGCCTAGTTCTTTCCGCCAGCTCCAGGGAACATGACTCCTGTGGCCCCCGGCCAGGACTTGGTTGGTGTGTTAGATGATGTTCCCGAGGTTGATGGCAACGGGTCTGTCCAGCCATGACCTTGTATTTTGTATTTCTTTTGTTTCCCACTTGAATACTTTGTGTTTCGAATGGATGTTTGATTTTTATTTCATACGCCTCCTTTTCTATACTTTGCATTATGAATACTTAGCAATTTATTCGGGGATCTGGCTTCTCTAACTTCCTGGAGGCGGTTAGGCTGACGTGGCCGAGCCTATCCGTGCCCCTCCTAGTTGGGTAGAAGTGATCTGTTCGCTATTGATATGGAATCAACAAGTAAGCGACTTGTTTGGCCAGCAAGGTCGGACATTGAACCGACGAGGAAGACCCTTAGGTTGGTATCCTAAACGTTCATGACCCGGGGGTCAGTCCTACTGTCACTTTAACCCGTCCAGTTTGCCCGGACTTGGGGAATAATCTGGTTACTCCCGCATGGATAACAACAGGGGCGGACCCTGCATGATCCACCAGAACGAACCCGCACCGCCAACTCAGGGATGATGAGAGTGTGAGCTGCTTGGCCAGCGATGTTAGGCGGCGAGCACTCGAAAGGACTCGGAGGTTAGCATCTTGAGTACCCTCGACCCGGAGGCCGGCCCTACCGTCGCCTCGACTGTCGCGGCTAGCTATTTTCTTTAGAAAATTGCCCGGATTCTTGAAAATCGCTTGGCCATTTTCAGTTAAAGAGCCTAGCCGAGGTCGGCCAAACACCGAGAGGGCGTAGTACTTTTTTTTGCCGCCGCCCTTTATTGCTAAGTGAGGTCGGACCTCTTTTGAAGGCAAAATATCGCTAGCAAAGTATATTGAATTCATCATGTGGGCGGACCACATGAAGAATTACAAATTGTAATCCCGTGCTCGGAGCACAGATTTTACAAAGAAGAGTGAAACTTTGATTTTCTACTGGTAAAACTTCATCAGGTGCTCGGCATTCCAGACGCGGTCTACCAACCGGCCTGTTGTTGTCTTCAACTTGTATGTCCCAGGGCTGATCACTGCGTCAACCACGTAAGGGCCTTCCCACTTGACGGAGAGCTTACCTCCCTCTGTCGGCCTGGTGGCCTTCCTACGTCTTAGGACATAATCACCGACGTCAAAACTCCGGGCTCGGGCTCGGCTGTCTTGGTACACCTTGACTTGTCGTCGATAGGTTTCTGCTTTGATGAAGGCACGGTCTCTTCTTTCCTCAATGAGGTGGAGCTCGGCTCGGAGCCTCTCCTCATTGCTGGCTGGTTCAAACTCTTCCACTCACCGGCTGGGAACTACGGCCTCGAACGGTGCCCTCGCCTCAAAGCCATAACACAAGGCAAAGGGGGTCTCTCATGTTGCCTTCCTTGGGGTTGTTCTGAAGGTCCAGAGTATATTGTTCAACTCCTCCACCCAGGCAGTCCCGAGGGCCTCCAACTTCTTTTGCAGTCCATCGACGATCGTCCGGTTGGTGTTCTCCACCTGTCCATTTGCCTGGGGGTAGCAGACCGCAACTCGACTGGATTCTACGCCCCACTCTGCACAGAATTGCCGGAAGGCTTCACAGTCAAACTGCCTCTCGTTGTCGGAGATTATTTGGAGGGGAACCCCAAACCGGAAGAAAATATTCTTCCATATGAACTTCTTACATTGGAGATGTGTGATGCTGGCAAGCGGCTCGGCCTCAACCCACTTCGTAAAGTAGTCCACTGCGACGATGACAAACTTCCGGTTTCCCGACCCGGTTGGTAAGGGACCGACCAGGTCGACACCCCATCTTGTGAATGGAAGGGCGGTGCTGATCGGTGTGTACATCGTTGCTGGTCGGCTGGGGCTCTTCTGGAACTTCTGGCATGTCTCGCATTTCCTTGCATAGTCAGCGCAATCCTTCATTATTGTTGGCCAAAAGTACCCCTCGAGGACGACCTTCCTAGCTAACGTGTCTGCCCCCTGATGGGCGGAGCACACGCCCCCATGGAGTTCAGAGACGATCATGTCCGCCTCATATGGGCGTAAACACTTTAGCAAGGTCCATTGTAGGACCTCTTGTACAGCTTCCCATCCAAGACGACGTAGCCCGGAGCTCGTCGCCGGACTAACCTTGCCTCATCTTGTTTATCGGGGAACGTCCCGTCGGCTATGTAGCGCAGGAGGTCATCCACCCAACACCAGGCGACTGGTTGCAGGGGAAGGACGTCAATGGACGGTGAGGCTGATATGCTTGAGGTCGTCATCCCCTCAATGCGTGCAATTCTCGATATGTGTTCAGGCAACCCTTGGGATAGCTTTGAGAGGAGGTCTGCATCAGAGTTTTGATTTCTTGGGATGCAGATCAACTCTGCTTGCTTGAACAACCCGAGCAACTTCCGAACAGCATCTCGGTACTTCATCATTCTTTCTTCCTTCGCTTCGAACTCACCTTTGACCTGGGAAACCACCAGGCGGGAGTCACATTTCACCGTTATCCACTCTGCTCCCATGGCGGCTGCCAGTCGTAGCCCAGACAGTAGGGCCTCGTACTCCACCTCATTGTTGGAGATTTTGAAAAGATAGCGGTAGGCATAGTAGGCTTGGAATCCCTCAGGTGAGATGAGGACGATTCCGCCCCCGCATCCCTTGGCTCCTGCCGACCCATCAGTCGCTAGAGTCCACCACTATTCATTGCTCTCTTGTTGCCTATCTGCCACCTCTCGGGCCGTGCATTCCACACCGAAATCAGCAAGAGCCTAGCCTTTGATGGACGTCCGAGGCTAGATGTCAACCTCATATTGGTTGAGGAGCATCGACCACTCACCACCCGGGTTGTGTCGGGCGCCCTCAGAGCGGCACCTAGGGGTTGGTCCGACAGGATTCTGATCGGGTGCGCTTGGAAGTAGTGTGTCAACTTCTTGGCGGTGATGTAGGCGGCATATATTGTCTTCTCGAGCGGGGTGTACCGGAGCTCAGCATTCTGGAGGGTCTTGCTCACATAGTAGACGGGACGCTGAACGCCTTCCTCCTCGCGAACCAGCACGGAACTGATTGCGCCTTGGGAAACCCCAAGATAAAGGATTAACGTCTCCCCCCTCTCCGGCTTGTGAGTAAAGGCTCAGAGAGGAGGTACTTCTTCAGGTCGTCGAAGGCTCGCTGACACTCATCATTCTAGACGAAACCATTTTGTTTCTTTAGGACCTAGAAGAAGGGTAGGGACTTCTCGGCGGACTTGGACATGAAGCGTCCAAGGGCTGCTAGCCGGCCGGTGAGAATCTGGACTTCTTTCACCGACCTCGGGGGTTCCATGTCAAGTATTGCCCTTACCTTCTCAGGATTTGGCTCAATCCCCCTCCGTGTGACCATGTACCCCAGGAACTTGCCTCCTTGGATGACAAAGTTACATTTCTTCGGGTTCAGGCGCAGACTAACTGCCTTCATGATCCCGAAGATCTCTGCCAAATCATCTGCATGATCGGACGCCCGGGTGCTCTTGACGATCATGTCGTCAACATACGCCTCCATGTTCCTTCCGAGCACCTTCCGGAATACCTTGACCACCATCCTCGTGTACGTCGCCCCAGAGTTCTTCAGCCCGAAGGCCATGACAAGATAACAAAAAATCCCCTCTGGAGTGACGAACGAGGTCTTCTCCGCATCTTCTTCATGCATGAAAATATGATGGTATCCTCGAAAAGCGTCCATGAAGCTAAGGAGCTCACATCCGGCCGTCCCATCGACTAGTTGGTCGATGTTAGGCAATGGGAATGGATCCATCGGACATGCCTTGTTGAGATCGGTGTAATCAACACACATCCTCCAGGTTGGCGGCTTCGGGGCCAGGACCACGTTTGCCAGCCAGACCGGGTACAAGACCTCCCGGATATGCTTGATACTCAGGAGCATGTTGACCTCCTTCTTCACGAATTCCCTCCTCTCGGTTGAGAGGTGTCTTCTTTTCTGCTGGATGGGCTTCGCCGTTGGATTGACCGCCAGCCGATGGATAGCAATGCTTCGATCAAGGCGAGGCATGTCCTCCGGTCCCCATGCGAAGACAACGCTAAAAAGGACAAGTACCTGGATAATCTTCTCCCTCAAGCCGGCCGGGAGCCCGGTCCCGATCTTGACCTTCCGCTCCGGCCTCTCGAGGTCAATCTGGATCTCCTCCACTTCTGAGGTGGGTTCAGCACGGAGCTGACCCTCCTCATATTTCATGGTTTTGCTTTTGATAGTGTGGACCCTCAAGTCTTTTTGACCGATTTGTTTGCAAGCTTTCAGATAGCAGCTCCTCGCTATTCGCTGATCTGCCCTGGCAACTCCGACGCCATTCGGGGTGGGAAACTTCATGCATAGGTGTTCCTGGGATATCACACATCTGAGGTCTTCCAGAGCCGGCCTTCCCATGATGATCTTATGCGCACAAGTTAGGCGTACGACGATAAACTCTACGTCTAACTTGGATACGCAGGGCTCGGAGCCCACCATCACGGGGAGGACTATGCTGCCCTCCGACTCAATGGAGTCCCCGGTGAAACCCGAGAGTGGGGTTCTCACCGGGATCAAGTCTTTTCGGTCCAGCCCGAGACCTTGGAAGGTGTCATAGTACATGATGTTAATGGAGCTCCCATTGTCCACCAGGACTCGGTGGACGATCGTGTTGTTGATTTCGACCTTGATGACCAAGGCATCCCTGTGCGGCGGAGGCATCGATGGCAGATCTACGTCGGTGAAGAAGATGGGGTCCCTCTTCACCCTCTTGTCGGCGGGAGCCCTGGTTATCTCCTCGATGTATAGGGCTCGGGTCCACTGCTTCCGCTCTCCAGAGGTGTCGCCTCCCTGGGGTCCCCCGAATATGAATGAACATCGATGGTACTTCCGGGGGCCGTTCCCTAGGTCGGCATCGTCTTCCTCGGAGAAGGCGCCGAGCTCCCGCTTCATGGCAGACGGTGTCTCCTTTGACGTGGTAGCTTGGTCGGACCGCTGCCACGTCAGGCTCCTCTTCTGCGGGATGCCTCCTTGTTTTCCAACGAATTGGCCCAGGTACCCTTTCTGGATGAGTTCTTCAATTTGCCACCGGAGAATGACGCAATCATCTGTATCATGCCCTGCTCTTCGATGGAATCGACAATATTGGTCGTGGTTACGATTGGCAGTCACCACATCGCACTCCTCCGGAAAGTCGACTAAACCTTGCTCCTCCACGTAGTCGAGGATGGCCCCGACCGGCTGAGCAAGTGGAGTCAATTGCTTGACGGGCTGTAGTGGTCCGCTCGGGACGTCCGCCTTGCCCCTGCCTCTACTTTTGTTACCTTTGTACTTGTTATTTTTGTTGCTAGCTCTGCCGTCAGCTTTCTCAGCACCCGAACCGGCTTCCTTCTTCTTTTCTTCTTTTGCACCTTCATCCTCATCTCTTTTCCTCTGTAAGGTGTCCTCCGCCTCGGCTTGCCGGTCGGCACGGCCGAGCGCCTCCTCGTACGAGGTAGGGGGACTTCTGACGAAATCTTTGTAAAGCTCGCCCGATCGGATAGAGTTGTGAGCATGGCCACCCCGGTCCTGTCATCAAGGCCCTGAACCTTGACTGACTCGGCCCTCCACCTTGCTAGGAAGGTCGATAATGATTCCTTCTTCCCCTGTTTCAGGCTGAACAGGTGGCTGAAGTTTTTCTTGACGTCTCGGGAGCTCGTGAACCTCAAGAGAAAGCGCTGAGCCAACTCACGAAAATTCGTGATACTCCCGTCGGGTAGAGAGTCACACCATTCACGATCCGGGCCATCCAAAGTGGCGGAGAAACCGCGGCATCGGATGGCGTCCTCGTACCCCATCATGACCATGTAGGAAAGGTACGGAGATACATGATGCTGGGGGTCAGAAGCGCCCTTGTATGCTTCAATGGCGCAGGGCTTGTAGCCCCTCGGCAACAGTGCATCCATGACCGCCCGGGTGAAGGGTTCAGGTATCCGGAGGTCGGCCATGTAGGGCTCCCCCCGACGACCCTCCTTCTCAACTCGTCAAGGCGCTGTCGGAGATCTTCCACCTCGGCCGGCGGTGGGTTCCCCCGGACAGCTCTAGCGCGGGGCTGGGCATGTCCGACGGCACCTCCAAGTCGTCCGTGCACACGAGGTCGGGGCCCCACGTTTTGCCTCTCCGTGGAGCCAGTCCGACTGCTCGCCCGGTGAGAGTGGCGAGAGGGCTCGCCTCCTTCCATCTGCGTTGGGCGCCCCTGCTGGGCGCCCCTCCCCGTCTGCCGATGGGGTCGGCTAGGCTGCTGGGAGACTTCTTCCCCCCGCCGATGGGAGACTTCTTCCCCCTGTTTTGGTTGGATCCAGAGCGTCGCTCATCACGCCGCCTGGAGGACACCTCCACATCCGCTGGCGTCTGTTGACGGGCAGGCTCGTCCACATTTCCGCCAGACACCATCTGTTGGAAATTTGAGCCAAGGTCCCCAGAACCCGAGTTGCCTCCTGTAGGGCTTCCACCCCGGCATTGAGTCGAGCCGGGTCCATGCGCGGAGCATGACGTCGGCCTCCCCCGCCGGCTGCGGACCGAGCGCTCACCTTGGGTGTGGTTGAGCGTCGCCCTTAGGTCGCCGCGGCCTGATAATTGGTTCCGAAGGTTGCCTTGGCGCGCCGCCCTCCTGCCCTGTGCATGGTTGTCGAGGGCACGCTGGCGGCCAGACCGGGTGGACTCCTCGGTGTGGACTGAGACATGGTCACGTTGAGACGAGATTCCGGCCATCTTCCTATGTGATTCCTACTCAAGTTATGTGAGAGACAATAGAGGCTCTCAATTAAAGCACCAATGTTGGTCCAAAATAGGACGCTCGTAGGCTTTTAGGAAAGCTACGTACGACACTCAAGCAAGAATTAGGAAAGTACGGATATGAAAAGTTAGCCAGAAATAGCATATCTGTATTTGAAATTCGAATTGCCTTTTATAGGCGATTACAAATGGTAACTGCCGAACATAATAATGACTAAATTAATTACAACATTAATACGGAATTAAACACATAATTAAGTCGCGCATGGATTGTTGGCCGTTACTCTTCCTGGCTGGCGGGTCAGCCTGGCTGGCAGGCTGGACGCTTGAGCTCCCTCCTGCTGGACTAGACGGTGGGCTTCCCGCTAGGCTGGAGGAAGGCTTCTGACCGGGCTGGAGGCAGGCTCCCGGGTAGACTGGAAGGCAGGCTCCCGGGTAGGCTGGAAGGCAGGCTCCCGGGTAGGCTGGAAGGCAGGCTCCCTGTTGGGCTGGAGGCAGGCTCCCACATGGGCTGGACCGCAGGCTCCCAGTTGGGCTGGATCGCAGGCTCCCCACTGGGCTGGAAGGCAGGCTCCCCGCTGGGCTGGTCGACAGGCTTTCTTGGGCTTCCGCTCCTTGATTGCCCTGATTAGTTGGGCCGACTCTAGGTTGCTGGGCTTAGGCCCGCTGGTCCAAGTTCGGGGCCTGGGCCGATTAGGCTCTGGGCCTGGTCCCATAACCCCATCAGTATAGAATTAAAATTAACATGTCCTAGTCTACCATGCCACACATTGGAAGACTCAAACAAGTAAGTAGAAGGTATTTTATTATTATTAATAATAATAGTCATTACATTGAGTTTAAACAACCCATCAACTGCATACCCCTTGCTCACATACATTCCCGACTTAGACAAAACCAGTTTGTCCGACTCAAAAACCACGCGGAAGCCATGTTCAATTTGTTCAACAACGAACCGGAAATCAAGTTTTTGCGTATTTCCGTAACGAACAAAACTTGGTTGAGAGTCAGGTCCTTGCCTGAAGTCATCTTCAGGACCACCTTGCCCACGCCTTCCACCGCGGAATGAGATGAGTTTGTCATCCACACCTTCTCACCATTTGATGGATCAAAAGTTGTGAATAACTCCTGATTTGAGCAAATATACCGGGTGGCACCGGTATCCACGAACCACTCCTTGGAATTAGATCCAACGAGGTTGACCTCGGTCACCACGGCCACAAGGATGATGTCTTCATCCTTTTGCCCACCTTGCACCAAGTTGACTTGAGAGTCCCTCTTCTTCTTGGGCGCCTTGCAATCCGCAGACTTGTGTCCGTTTTTATTGCAGTTGAAACATTTTCCATTGAACTTTGTCTTGGAAATGCCTCCCTTGGGACCAAGCTTGCTCTTCCCATTATTTTTTGTTTTGGAGCCCTTTGCATGCTCCACCACATTTGCCTTGGCGCCGTTAACGATTGGGAGTTTCCCATCGTTCTTCCGGTTATCCTCTCCAATCCGAAGACGGGGGATCAATTGCTCCAAGTTCATTTCCTTTCGCTTATGCTTAGGGTCGTTTTTGAAATCCTTCCAAACCGACATCAATTATCCATTTATTAACGCCACTTGGAAAGACTCACTAACTGTCATTCCTTCATCTCGAATTTCGTTGAAGATCATTTGCATTTCTTCAACTTGACTCAAGACCGTCTTCGAATCCACCATTTTAAAATCAAGGAATCGGCCGACAACAAATTTCTTTGCACCGGCATCCGCACTCTTACATTTGTGGTCCAAAGCATTCCATAGCTCCTTAGTCGTAGCTAATTTGCTATAAACGTCGTACAAAGCATCATGCAGCCCGTTCAACACGTAGTTTCGGCAAAGGAAGTCAGAATGCTTCCAAGCTTCAACCGCGTTGAAAGATTGTGCATCCACCTCACCCCCGGTTACTACCGGCGCGTCTTCGGTCAAGAACCTAGCAAGACCGAGAGTAGTGAGATAGAAGAGCATCTTTTGTTGCCACCTCTTGAAGTTTAACCCATTGAATTTTTCTTGTTTCTCCACAGAATTGCTCGGCACGGTAAGCATAGGGATTGCTCCTTGGTTGCCCAAAGCAGATGCTCCGCGTTGTGAACTATTGTTCACCGGAGCTCCACTTTTAGAGTGATTATTGTTTGGCACGTTCTGCCCACCAACATTCTGAATTTCTTGAGAAGCTATTTTTAACGTTTTCTTACGTTTTCCGAAAACACAAAAAATAAGTTCGTTCACCAAAGTGACAAACTACGATTTAAGATTGTATCTGTATGATACAACCTTAGCAAAATACGTTTTAAGATTGTTGGGCGTGTCTCGAAAAAATGTAGAAATATTAATTAATAAAATTAATTAATTAATTAAAATAGCCAAAGAAAAAAACCAGAAAATAAGATGGGACGGAAATTAGCCAGAGCTCGTGATACGCACGATGTCCTTAAAACGTATTCGTCGCCTCTCACGGTGTTAGGAGCGTTGCAACGACCGTTTCACAGGATACGGTGGCTAACAAACTAACGTTTGAGCACACAAACAAAAGTTACGGAGAACGGGAACAAGCTAGAACACTTAGGAATTTTTCAGAGTAGATGGAAGTGTTTTTAGAGCTAAAAACTACGTGCAGATTGTCTGTGAACGTGGGTTTGTTGCAAAGCACCTGCCAGCTATTTATAGGAGGATTTGTGGTGTGTTAATCGAGCTTTAATGGACCTGAACGTTGCACATAAATATCCAGCACGTTGGACATTAATATGTCGAAAATCTATCCATTTAAAGAAGCATTAAAAGACAAGAACGTTGGGTATTAACTTTCGTAAGGGCTGAGAACTGCGCTTAGATATTATGGTCCGGAAGCCAATAGAATTCCTCTAAGGTCTTCTGGCACGGACAGAATACCTTGTGCCCTTCTTTTGCGAACATAAGTGGAGCGGTTCTAGTGAGACCCTCTTCTGGTCCGGACAGAAAGGGAGTAGTTCTGCCAGTTTGGAAAAAATTAGGAACGTTACGGGAAGAAACAAAAATTAAATCATATCTTTGAATGATAGATTTTTTGGACGACATTCGTGTCCTCAAGTCGCTCGCGCACGCAAGTCGCGGTTTTTTATCTCTTTTTTCAATATTTGATCGGCACCCCCCTCCCCCCGCGAAGAGAGCCTTTCCCCACAGGAATCTCAACTCCTTCAAAGAGGGTTCCCTTTATAAGGGGGTGAATGTCACGCCCCGGACCTACCAGACACGTCAACAATCCGCCGTACAGTACGATTTGTCAACCGCAGTTCAACACATTCATACTATACAAGGCGTCTGGAATATCATTCACACGTAGCACATCCATAAACAAACATAATGTGAATTATTCTTTAAAACAGCGGAAACAACATTACAAGTGTTCAAGCCACACTTGGCAAACATGGGTATACAAACCCATGAAATGTATATTCAGAAAATAATATCCATGAGCATTATTCATATTGTTTTCAAAACAAGAACGGAAGAAGCACGAACCAAGTCTTCTTCTCAGAAACTTCCCGAAACAGTGGCTGGTAGTAGCAACCTTCAAGTTCTACCTGAAACTGTGAGGCGGCCTCCCCCGTGAAGGGGAGGTCAGTACTTGGAAGCATTTGACAAGTACAATGACAACTATACTAAGTATAATCGAAGTTTAAATCTCTGAGGCCCTCAATCTAGGGCATTATTACATTATAGTTAATCCGTTCATTTAGTATCAATTCATCATTATTTACTACGGTCTAGAGCCCAGCTCATAATCACCGTTATCTACTACGGTCTAGAGCCCCGCTCATAATCACCGTCATCTACCACGGTCTAGAGCCCAGCTCATAATCACCGTCATCTACTACGGTCTAGAGCCCAGCCCATAATCACCGTTATCTACATCGGTCTCGAGCCCGGCTCATAATCACCGATTCTTTATAATTCAAATTCTTAGGATCTAATTCATCCATTTCTCAACTAACATTTCCAACTAATATTTCAATGCTAGTTATTTATTTATTTCAATATAATTCTTCCTTCATGCATGATTGGCCTTAATATCAAATATCACTTTTATACTTTCATGGCTTCTCCTCATGGTATCAAAGTATACTATCTCAAATGAAATTCATGGTTGATACAACCATCATACACTCGTATTCATAACATCTAAACATACACAATTTATTCATAAATTTGTATATCATGCATACTATACTTATAATCAATAGTAGTTTTATTTAGGCATTATTAACCATTAACAACCCATACACATCACATTTGTATTCACTTAGGAGATCCCATGAGATTAACCCAAAGATTATAAGCAACATAGTCGGTCATCCTCACCTTAATTAAGCTTAAGCGCGTTCTACGCTTCTCGATTGAACTTTGACTAATTTCGGCGAACTTTGACCAACTCCGGCGAACTTTGACCAACTCCGGCGAACTTTGACCAACTCCGACGAAACTCCGGCGAAGCTCAAAAATACTTTAAATCAAGTTCCTAACAAGGTTTTATCATCACAAAAACCATATCAACACAAATAACCTATAAAGGTTATTTTCCGGCAAACCGGTCGATTTGGCTTCTAAGTCCGTTTCTTGGACATAGAACCACTTTCCAACCCATAAATCCATACTTAGAGCATGGAGAACCATCCCAAGGGTTCTTCATATAATAAATATCCCTCATGGTAGAAGAAGAATAAATGGAAAGCTATGGCAAGGTGATTACCTCAATTTCCACACTTTCCTACACCTTTTTCCTTCTCCAAACACTCCTCTTTGGATCCTCTATCTTGAGCTCGAATTTGGGTGTGAAAATGATGAATTTCAGAGCTCCTTTTTGCTATCCTTGGGTGTTGCTACGAGTGGATGGAGGTGGTGAGGTGAGAGGGGTGGTTTTTGTCTCATTTAGACAAATGAGTGAAGGGATGAGGTCTACTAAATGTCAAAGGGTGTCTCCCCCATCCTATCAATTGTTATTCAGCCAACTTAGCACTCATCCAGCCCCCAAGGGTTGACAAATTCGTGGGGTGGCCCCCACCCATGTGGGAGGTCATCCTAATTTGTCCCAAAGTGTACAATTTGCCCCGAAAGTTGTATTTTCCGGACTGTTTTAGATATATTTTATTTTATCGGGTTAAATAAATATATTACGTGTTCTTAATCATTATAACATTTAGAATGAATATGCATTCCCCAACTTTAATTTATAAGTCTCCAAAATCCAATTTCGGGCTTTTATCTGATAAATTTATCGATACCGGTATTTGGACCTCTATTGACCAATCGGTCAACTCTGGGCCTTTCCATGGCCCAAATGAAGTATCCACCATCTATAAATATTTTCTAGACCCAGATGAACATAATATGTGGTCCCGATAATATCGGGCGGTCCCCACTCCCGATGTGGGCCCCACGTGCATTTTACTATTCACGCGAAAAAATTTAATACAAATTCACAACCTCGTAAATTCACTAAAATTTCGTAGGGTTCAATAAATTATTCGCTTAAAGGTAAATACATTTGGGGACGGTGTTACAGTGAAAATCCCTTGGGTTTTCCGGTGTGAGATAAGTCCCACTAGAAACTCATCATTTTCCCCATTTTTCCATTTCAACGAGTGAACTTCGAGAATCAATTTCTCATTCACCCGTTATCCATTTTGAGTGTACCATATATCGAATTGTAGCCCTTAGCAAGGACAATCCGAAACCACTTTGACCCGACCCAAATCGGAAGTGGGCCCCACTCAAAATATTGCCCCAAATTGACCATTTAATGCAATTTTTATCACATTTTCCCAACACACTCATGTTTCTAAAATGATGGTTGTTCAATTCTTATTATTCTCACCTCGCAGCATTCGGGGACTTATAACTTCATTAAACGAACAGTGATAATGTATTACTTCACGATTATCTTAGTGAAGAGGTATCCTCTACATGGATACTCATTTCCTCATTCTGGAAAGGTTTATCGTTTGATATGCGCTTCATACATACAGAATCTGAGAAGTTCCATAATGTTGATTCTCAAAGTTAAAGACGGTCCTCAAAATTTGTGGTTTTCAACAATCACATGCTGATTTTTCTGTTTTTTATCCATAAATGAGGTAAACATTTTTTCATTGTCTTAGTATATGTAGATGATATGCTTATTAAAGGAAATAGTTTGAATTTGATTTCCAATTTAATAGGGTTTTCTCCACGGTCTTTCTTGTCAAAAATTTGGATCGATTGAATTATTTTATTGGGCTTCAAATTGCTCGTAATCTCACTAATATATTTCGTATCACCGGAGATATACTTTGGGAATTCTGAGCGAAGGTAGACTTAGTGGTGCAAAACCCGTCTCTTTTGTGCTGCCTCAGAATCATCATCTTCAAATTGACGATGTGTAACATCGTCCCCAAGTATATTTACTTTTTATCAAATCATGTATTGAACCTTGAGAAATGATTAATGAATTTACGAGGTTGTAATTTTTTTTAATTACTTTGGGCCAGTAGTAAAATGCATGTGGGGACCACATCGGGAACGGGGACCACCCGATATTCCAGCCTTTTCTTTTTAACCATTATAAATAGTTCACTCTTCTTTTGCTCATTAACCTGCAATCCTTATGATTTTAATATCTATGTTGCCCTTGCTATGTCTTATTGGATTTTGTCACACGCGTTACATGGCTTAACTGTTTCCAATTGTATAGTTTAGGAGTTAATAACCTGTGTGAATATTTGAGTCCCTCCCGGGGCTTTATTGTCAAATGTCAATTAGATATCTATTTTGCTAAAGCTAACAACTATTGGTCATTATATAAACTGTGAGTAGTGGAGATATAAAAAATGTTAACGTTTGTCTAGAGCCCCATAAAATGCTATACAAAAGGAGTAACAACTATGGAATATCTTAGGCCGTATAAGAAAAAAACATTATATGTAATGCTATATACTTGTGAATTTTCTTAATTGATTTTTTAAATAAATGTATTCAAATCATTGTAAGTTAACTATATGAAAAGTCATTCTTGAATGGTATATTTGTATAATAATTGTAAGTTTTTAATATTTTAGGTTTATCAGGGCACCAAAAGAGGAACTTTTTTCAAGTGATGAAGAATTCGAAGTTCGTGATGCATTGGTCATATAAGTGTGCGAAGATTTATTGTAACTTTTAGTGTTGATAAATTTACAAAAGGCCCCGCAGTAAAATCAAAAACATTAGTCACGGACTAAATCCGTGACTACGTTTTAATCCGGAATAAATTCAATGTTCATTTTTTTATTTTTTATTTAAAATCGATTTTTTTTAAAAAACAAAAAACATTAGTCACGGACCAGATCCGTGACTACGTTTATCCGGAATAAATTCAATTTTTTTTTAAATTTAACATAGTCACGGATACGTCCGTGACTACCACAAAAAATAAAAAAATTTAAATTAAACTTGGTCACGGCTCGTGTCCGTGACTAACATAAAAAAATTTAAATTAGAAGTAGTCACGGATCCGGTCCGTGACTAACGTGCCAGAGGGCTAATTCTGGTCAAGATGTAGTCACGGATCGGCGTTCGTGACTAATCCGTGACTACACCTAGTCACGGCCAATTTTCCGTGATTACGTTCTAGTCACGCGGAATTAGTCACAGAACTAGTCACGGACAAAATCCGTGACTAAATGTGTTAGTCACGGACTTTTTACACTACGGTCCGTGACTAAGTCCGTGACTACAGGCGAATTTTTTTGTAGTGACCGTAACTTGTATTGTATTCATTATAGATTTTGGTGATGTAGCTTAATTCGATTTGGAATTATGGCTTTGATCGATGAGATACCTAGGTTGGCAAATTGAATTGTTTCATATTTTTTAATTAGATACGAAGTATATTTTAGTAAAAATCAGATTTATAAATTTGAGTAGTATCGAAAAACAAAAATAATGCACCAAATAACAATATTTTAGAGAGTTTTTGCTGCGAAATTAAAAATTATCTGCTGCGGTTCTGAACCGCAACAATAAATCAATCCATTTTTTTGCTGCTACCTAGTTGATGCGGTTCTGAACCACAACAATAAGTTATTTTTATCGTCAAAACAAACTGCTTGTGTTAATATCATCAGGAATCAGATCGTTACAACAAACTCAAAAAGACCAACCCTAACAATGACTATCCCTAACCAACTTGCACTATCAATCCTACATGTAGACTCAGAGTTAAAACCCGTTTTTATAAATGACTATTTGTTGTGGTTCTGAACCGCAACAAATACGTTTTCCTACTATTTGCTACCCTGGCAAATGCTGCGGTTCATAACCGCAACAAATAGGTAAAATTGACCGCATCAAATAGCTATTATTCTTGTAGTGTGATTTCTAAAAACTATAAATGAAATGTTGCCAATCAGTGGCGGAACCAGCTTCGTGATCTTGGAGGGGCACATTACCTCAAAAGGCTCGACTCTTTACTACCTTTAGAAATCTGTGTACAAAATCGATTCATATGAATTCTTTGTCAAACTTGAGCCTGACTATCCACAACCACAAAAAATAACAAGCTCAGTACATGGCTATAGCCCAAAATACACAATAGCAAAGCTGTTACGCCAGTCACCCCAAAACAATAATGCTCTCGATCAGGGGCGGAGGCAGAGCACTAGGCCGGGCTGGTCCGGTACAAATAATATTTTTAGAAAAAAATTTACACAAAATTTTTTACCTTAAAAATTGAGCCATTTTTAAAATTTGAGGTGAGCTATGGCCTAGGTTGGCCCACCCCTAGCTCCGCCCATGCTCTCGATCAGTCGCTAGACCTAGTGGTCGCGAGTGTTATTCACTCATTCCGGCCTAATTCCGGCGAATTCCAAAGAAATCCTCTCAATGTAATCAACCCTCTAAGCTTCAACGTTAGTAGTTGAGCTCATAAATATATTACTCCCTTTATTTTGTTAAGATTTTCTTACATTTTCTTTTTAGCCTGCCTCATTAACATTGATCAATATCAAATTTGATTGTGGTTCTAAATTATTTTTACATTCAAAAGTTGATTGTTGACCACCCTGTATAATATATATGTATAGAGTCATTCTCCTGTCCAGCAGCCCCCGGTCCAAACGTCGTCCGAACACCGCTGTTTGGGGAGGTTCCAGGTGGATTTTTTCATGAAATATTTTGAGCATGTTCCTCATCAAGTCTAGTTTATCCATGCCAAATTTCATCTTAAAACTCGACCGCGAAGGCAGTCAAACAATTTGTTGAAGTTAACTGCACCAAATTATACATAGAAAAACACAGTTAACTTAAAAAAATTATTTTACTGCCTCCCCGGACGAATTTTAAGCTGAAATTTAGTATGGATAAACTAGACTTGATGATGAACATGGTCAAAAAATTTCATCAAAAACTTCTAGCGGAAACCGCCCCAAACAGCGGTGTTCGGACGACATTCGGACAGAAACGTGCTGGACCTGAAAATTTCTCTCTATATATATAATAAAAAGAAATCTGCAGAGCCGCAGGGGCACAAGCACCCTCAAGCTCTAGTGTAGTTCCGCCCCTGTTGCCAATTGACACCACTCAAATATTTTATGTAGTTACTACAAAGGTATTTTTATTCTAAAAAGTAATTTAACATCACATTTATAAATGGAACGAGGGTCAAAATATAAATATATACTCCGTATGAATAATTACATATTTATTACTAAAATATAGGTTCTTTACAAAAAGTGATGTCTTACACTCTTACGTGTAGTTTTTTTACTACAATGACACTATATCAGTAATTTTTAATGATATTTTGTAAATAAGTTTATTTTAGAAATATTTTTGAAATATTTGTTAAAGTCAAATATATAAATATTATATATAATAAAGATCGATTTTTGACATCAAACCGGGCCAATGACTTTGAATTAGATTTAATATTATTTGAATGATCGAATTTGAAACAAAAAATGACTCTATCATTTTTATAATTTATTTGAGTTGGTGTGATGTGAAATAACTATTTAATTGGTTTATTATTATTGGTGATAATTGATACTACCTTCACGGCTGATACTACCAGTGATACTTGTGACTAACATTAGGATATGAGGAGTGATGCGCTTATTAAGAAAAGTGGTTTATGTGATTGATATAGAATTGATAGCGTAAAAATAATTTACAATCAAATTATTTGTACATAATTTGGTATGAGGTAATCTTAGTGGGACCGATCGAAAACGAAAGATGAGGCAATCTTAGCGGGATATTGGGAGCATCATGTAAGTTATTTTCCCTATTTTAAAACCTGAAATTTGACTCAAAAATGGTAGACATATGATTATGAATAAGTTTATTTTTAATATCGAGTCATATAAGTAGTATTTAGTTTGAAAAGTTGACACCACTCAAATGAATCACTGGCTCCGCCCTTGAGGGCAGTGGACGGTATTCAAATTACAGGGGTTTGGAGAAGAGGTAAAGATGACAAGGGGAGGAAGGTAGAACACGATTAAGGAAGGGAGTAAAGAAGGTAGGCAGAAGAGAAGGCGAGCGAGTAAAGAAGATAGGCGGAAGAGAAGGCGAGCGAGTAAATAGCTATCACTGTAGCTCCGCATTTTCTAAATTCAGAAAACGTCTAAAAGTCAGTTTTCCATTTCAAAAGGAAGAAGCGAAACATGTTTCGTTTTTCCCTTTTGGAAAACGGTTAGGTAAACACTTTTTCTAATCTTTCTATCTCATGTTTTTCAAATTTTTAGAAAAACAGAAAATATTTCTGTTAGTAAACATGTCCTAATATTTTCAAAACTCTTCAATTCCATAATTTCCTTTTAAGGACTTGCTTGTATGCTCCACACTTTTGCTCTATAATGTATATCAAACATTCAAACACATTCATATATTGTTGTCTTATACAACCCGTTTGATAACACTTATTTTTGTTTGCCGGTCAATTTTTTATATAAAAATGTAACTTTTGATATCATAAGCTAAATTGTCTTATAATAAAAATAAGTAAGGTTACAGTTAACTGTCTAGTTAAATTGGCTAAATTTGTCAAAAATGACTATTTTACCTATTTTTCATGTAACATTTTCTTCCATGTTATTAACAAAATAATTTTAAATATGACTTTTTTCATAATTCAGCTACTAATTCAATCGTTTCAGCAATAATTTGGTCAATTTCAATAGTTTAAATCATTGAAGAATTAATGAACAAAAAAAATAATGAACATAAGACATGATCATAATATATACGAATTTACCATTTCAGCACTAGAGAAGTGGATTTTGGAATTTGGATGCCAGAAGAGATTTTGAGCAAATGGAGAATGTATACGAAGTATATATACATAATACATTCAAGCATAGAGAGAGGAAGGGGAGATTTGGAAGCCCGGCTGTGTGTTTTGCCCGTCGTGTCAAAGAAAACATAAGATAACCTTTTTCTGCGAGAGAAGAAAAAGACTAACCGAAACAGTTTCCTTTTCTGTTCTTTTCTCTCTCTAGTTATTAGTGTCTAATTTCTTGGATTTTTTTTAATAATAATCTAATTATTGGCGGATATATACGCGCAATATTTATTTGTATTGAAACAAGGATCTGAGCTAGGGTTTGGGAATTCTGAAATTGGCGCGCTCAAGTTTCGAAATGGATTGAGAAATGCTGGGTGGAAATGGCAACTGGTGAGAATTGGAGCCCCGATCTCGGAGGGAATTTTGAGATTAGGGTTTCGAGTTGAGAAAGATGGACGTGGATTCTACCATGGCAACGGGCTCTGATCACGATCCAGCTGTTCAGAGTAACGGGCCGAGTTCCGGGCAGCTCAGGGATGAGTCCTCTGCTATAGGATCTCCACCACAGACTTCTCCGCTTCAGCAGCAACAGCTGCAGTCGTCGTCACCTTCCCAGACTCAACCTCAGCACCACAATTCAAGTCCAGTCACTGGGCCGAGATGTGCTCCTACGTACTCAGTGCTGCAGCCTATCATAGAGAAGTCTGAGGATGGGCCGGGGCCAAGGTGTGGCCACACTCTAACTTCTGTTCCGGCTGTTGGAGAGGAGGGTATGCCCGGATACATTGGTCCTAGGCTTATTCTCTTTGGTGGTGCTACTGCACTCGAGGGGAATTCTGCTGCTACTGGCACTCCATCATCTGCTGGAAGTGCTGGAATCCGTATGCTTCTTTATTTGATTCTTTGATTAGGACATTTTCAAATTCACAATCATTCTTTCATCCACTTGATTACTTTACCTATAACATCTTCAAAACTGAATCATGTTCTTAGTTCATCCTGCTACTTTGAAGTATCACTTTTTACCTATGTGTGAGTTATTTTACATTCAGTGTGAAGCTCAGCTTTTTATTACGTTTTTTGGGTCAACATTAGGACATCCTCCAGCAATATAATTGGGAATTTAGGAGGTTGAGTGATAGAAGCAGAAAACCTAGCAAACGATAACAACGTCTGCCCCAGCCATAAGCTTAACCAAAAGTTTATTAACGATAATAGTTTTTAAGACATCCTTAAATACTCCTTAACCTAATAATAAAATAAGGCCATCTAGGCCCAACAGTTTATTAGAAATTAGAAATATTAATTAATGAAATAAAGTAATAAGACCCAGCAGTCAACCCAACCCATCAAGGCCCGCTGGCGGCGACGGTAGACCAATAACGGCCGAGGCCCGTCCTCCTGCACCGGCCCACTTGTCTGGTGCTTCCAAGCAGGCCCACTTATCTCGTGCTCCCTAACAAGTTCCTCCCCCTCCGAAGCAACCTTGTCCCCAAGGTTGAAGTGAGGGAACTGCTGCCGCAACTGCAGCACTCCAACCCAAGTAGCGTCATCTTCTGACTGACCAACCCACTGCACCAACACCTGCTCCACATCTTCCCCTTTTTCCTGCACCTTACGCCATGCCAAAACAGTAGCAGGTTTGAACACCGGCCCTATAGGAACCTCCAAACTCTCTGGTAGTTCTGTTTCAATGGGATGATCTCCGACAACCCGACGTAGTTGCGACACATGGAAAACAGGGTGGATTCGGCTGGTTGCTGGAAGCGACAACCGGTAGGCCGCTGGGCCCACACACCCTTCAACAAAAAATGGACCATAGAACTTGGCTGAGAGTTTGTGATGAGATTGTCGCGCTAGAGAATTCTGCCGACTGTCGTACTTTCAGGAAAACACGATCCCCAACCTCAAACACCACATCCCGCCTTCGCTTATTTGCATGCTTAACCATTTGCTGTTGCGCTTTTTCCAGGTTACCTCACAAACGCCGCAACATCTCGTCCCGACCCCCCAAAAAATCTGCCACAGCCGCTACTCGACACTCACCTGGTAAGAATCGCTGCAAAGATGGAGGTGGCCTTCCATACACCACTTCGAAAGGGGTCATTCCGGCTGCAGTTTGGGAAGCGGTATTGTACCAATATTCTGCCCAATGTAACCAACGAAGCCACTTCTTCGGCTGGTCACACGTAAAACAGCGAAGATATGTCTCTAATACACGATTCAGCACTTCCGTTTGGCCATCCGTTTCAGGATGGTATGCAGAGCTGTACTTCAAGTGAGTACCCGACTGCTTGAACACTTCTTTCCAAAAGGTACTGACGAATAGTGGGCCCCTATCACTCACTATAGACCCCGGAATACCATGCAACCGAACAATCTCCCGTACAAAAATATCAGCCACAGATTGAGCTGTAATTGGAGGTTTTAATGCAATGAAATGTCCATATTTGGACAGCCTATCCACCACCACCATAACACTCGTATACCATTGAGATTTGGGTAAACAAGTAATAAAATCCATGGCCACGTCCTCCCAAACTAAGTCTGGAATTGGTAGCGGTTGTAGTAATTCTGCCAGCGACATTGCTTCATATTTTGATTTCTGGCAGACCAAACATTTGGCCACATACTCTTGCACCTGACGGAACATGCCCTTCCAATACACACTGCTTGCTAATCGCCGATACGTCCTGAGAGCCCCTGCATGCCCCCCTCCAGCGTGTCATGAAATTCTTGCAATAGTTTTGGAATCCACTCAGAAGTGGCTGCCAGCACCAACCTCCCTTTAAAAAACAGCCTGCCCTCAATTATTTCGAACCCCACCCAGCTGTCCGGGTCAGTCTTCAAGGCAGTCACAATGTTTTGAATAAACTCATCACGCCCTTGTTCCTCCAACACCTCCCGCATCCCTGCCCATTCCGGCACACTCAGTGCTGTCAGTGACCCCTCCTCAGCCCTTTTAGATAGTGTATCAGCCGCTGAATTGGAGACTCCCGGTTTATACTCAATTTGGAAATCATACCCCAGTAATTTAGCCACCCAATTCTGCTGCGAGGGAGTCACAATTTTCTGCGAGAGAAGATGTTTGAGGCTGTGGTGATCGGTGCGGACTGTAAAATGACGACCCATGAGATACAGCCGCCAATGTTGGATTGCCAATACCAACCCCATTAATTCACATTCATAGACTGATTTGGTAAGGGTGCGATCAGCCAATGATTTACTGAAATAAGCAAGCGGACGTCCTTCTTGCATCAAGACTGCCCATACCTGAAGCATCACACTCAATCACAAAGTGACGCTTGAAATCCGGCATGGCCAAAACTGACGCTTCAGTGAACGCGCTCTTCAAGCTAGTGAAAGCAGCAGCTGCATCTTTATTCAATTCAAATCTGGATGGTGCGTCTTTCTTTAATAAGGCTGTCAGAGGTCGCGCTATGATTCCATAATCTTTGACAAAACGACGGTAATAACCCGCCAACCCCAAAAACCCGCGCACATCCCGAACAGAACGCGGTTGTGGCCACTCGACTACTGCACGAACTTTAGAAGGGTCCATCTCCACGCCTGTCTCTGAGATGATGTGGCCCAGGTACTCTACCTTGGACCCCCCAAAGACACACTTCTTTCTGTTGACCTTGAACTGATTCTGGTGCAAAATATGCAGCACCTGTTTTAAGTGCACACGATGCTCAGCTACTGTCCGACTGTAGATTAAGATATCATCGAAGAATACCAAGACAAATTTTCGTAAGAACGACCTGAACAGATCATTCATCGTGGACTGGAAGGTGGCCGGTGCGTTCGTTAACCCAAACGGCATCACTAGAAACTCGTAGTGACCGCTATGAGTACGAAAACCCGTTTTAGAAATATCTTGTTCTGCCACTCGTATTTGATGATAATCGGCTCGGAGATCAAGTTTTGAAAAAATTACGGCTCCCGATAATTCATCCAACATCTTCTGGATTACTGGAATCGGGTACTTGTCTGGAACAGTCACCTTATTTAATTCTCTATAGTCCACACAGAATCGCCAGCTGCCATCTTTCTTTTTAACTAAGAGAACCGGGCTTGAGAACAGGCTGGAACTTGGCCGGATGATGCCTGCCCTTAGCATGTCGGACACGAGGTTTTCAATCTCATCTTTCTGACTATGCCCATACCTATATGGCCGGACAGATACCGGGGCTGCTCCGAGTGCCAACTCAATCTGGTGGTCTGTAGGTCGTTGCGGGGGAAGGTCCCTCGGCTCTCTAAATACTTCCTCAAACTCCCGTAGTACATCAGCCACTTGCTCCTCGTTTGGCCTCAATATCGTAGTGGGCTCTCCCTCCATCACAATCGCCCAAAATTCCACATCCCTTGTCCGAAGTAGGGCCTGCAGTCCCACCTGTTTCGGGCAGAGTGCCGGGTCCCCTTTCAGTTTTACCCGACTGCCCTGCCAATCAAAGGACATAGTCATCGTATCCCAGTTGGTCTGGACCTCTCCCAAAGTTGCTAGCCATGCTACTCCCAGTATAATATCCACTCCTCCCAACGGAACACGTAACAATCTGCCTGAATTTGGCACCCCTGCAGCGAGATTGATACCCCTTTGCAAACTCCTTCTGATTCTTGGCGACGCCCGTCCCCTAGCTGTACACCGAACTTTCCCGTCTTTTCTGCTCGTAATTTGAGTCGGGAAACAAGGGCTGTTGAAATAAAGTTGTGACTTGCGCCACTATCCACCAAGATGGTTACTGTTTCCCTTTGAGTCACATAGTACGGGGGACTAGAAATCCCTGCCATGGAATATATGGGCAAGTCCAAAGCTGCTGCCTGTTGTTCCTCCTGTTCGCCTAGCTACTCGACCTGTTCGGGTGGAATAAAAAATTCAGTTTGGCTGAGGTCGAGTTATTTTTTCCTAGTTTTTTTATCCTTATATATATGCATTATTTGTAGCCTTTTTATTTTATCATTTCTATATATATTCATCTTTTTTTATATTATCTTTTCATAATAGCTTATCTTTTTATCTTTTTTCCTTCTTTTCCTTTTGGTTGTGATATCATGTATCGATTCATGTTAGCCGACCCCAATATCTTTTGGGACTAAGGCTTGGATGTTGTTGTTGTTGTTGTTGTTGCTGAGGTCGAGTTCCTCATCTTCCTCCGTGACCATTACTCTTAACTGTTTTAGCGGACATTCATGCCCGGGGTGTAGGCCTTCTTGCAACGGAAACAAAGCCCTTTCGCACGCAGATCTGCCAACTCCTGTGGTGAAAGGCATGTGAACCGAGAGCGATTAACAGACTGCCCCGTCATTGCTTATCCGGTTCCCGGCGTACGACTTGGAGATCGTGAGGACGCTGTTCTTCCCCCTACCCCCTGGTTGCCAATAGTCAGAGTAGAAGAAGACCCCAAAAACCCGCCAGCCTTGCTGTAACTACTGGAACGGTACTGCTGACTGTTGTAACCCCGTTCCACTCTCCCTCCGGACTGAACAGTCAAGTTGTCCTCGACATCCTTGGCCAACTCCATAGCGGCTTCCAGATCAGCTGGTCGTAAAAGCCGTAAGGAGCTACGAATCGTGTCTCGCAGCCCTTTCATGAAGTACCCCAAGTAGTGGGCATCACTCAAACTTGGTACCTGACTGGCCAGTTGAACAAACACGTTTATATAATCATCCACAGACCCCGTCTGCTTGATGTCGGCCAACCGTTTGAATGTGCTCCCCTTAAACCGTGTATCAAAACGGGCCACAAGAGCTTGTGAAAACTCCTCCCATGTGATATTCGGTTTCCGCGAACGTGTCCAAGAGAACCAATACAGAGCAGGACCCTCCATTGCAACCATGGCAGACGCCACCTTTAATTCAGGACGGGTCTGATGGATTTCAAACTGCTGATTGGCCCTGGCGAGCCATCCAATCGGGTCCGCCCCCTCAAACGCTGGTAGCGTCAGAGGCGCGGTCACAGACCTAGGGTTGTGGGAGTTCTGCGAGTCATCTGTGCCTCCTCCTCCCGACTCAGAATCAGCCAGCGGTTCCCCGACGCCATAACTTTCTGCACCAGTTTATCTAGGGTTTGTGTGATAGCATCCAACTTGGCGTTGGTGGATTGCACTTCTGCCCTGATGTCCTTCTGGTCCGCTACTATCGCATCCATGCGTTGATCAATGGTGGAACGAGTCATGATGAATGTACGGTGGTGGATAGGATCCGGCAGGTCGGACCAAATTGATAGAAGCAGAAAAACTATCAAACAATAACTTCTGCCCCAGCCGTAAGCTTAACCAAAAGTTTATTAACGATAATAGTTCTTAAGACATCCTTAAATACTGCTTAACCTAATAATAAAATAAGGCCATTCAGGCCCAACAGTTTATTAGAAATATTAATTAATGAAATAAAGTAATAAGACCCAACAGTCAACCCAGCCCATCTAGGCCCGCTGGCGGCGACGGTAGACCAATAACGGCCGAGGCCCGTCCTCCTGCACCGGCCCACTTGTCTGGTGCTTCCAAGCAGGCCCACTTATCTCGTGCTCTCTAACATTGAGGAGCTTTTAACTTCTAATGGGCCATTTAATTGATCCAGCATTGGCAAAGAAATAATGTTAATATACTCTATTTTTTCATAACAAAGATATCTGCCTAACATTACTAGAAAAGTTTTCTTTTCTGTACGGGATATAGCTTGCTCTTCTAGGTTATTTGTATACATGCTTATTTTAGTAGAGCTCCTGTTCTATGTTGTAACATTACTTGTTCAATCTCTATCGCTCAAGTACATGATTAATCATCTTGAAGGTAATATCTTATTGCAGGGTTAGCAGGGGCTACTGCTGATGTGCACTGCTATGATGTGTTGACAAATAAATGGTCTAGGTAACTTGATATTACTCTTAAGTGTCTTCATTTTTACGGCTTGCTGTTTGATAGTTGCTAGTTTTATGCTTGTGACGGTTAATTTTTTATCTCCTCAGAATTACTCCAATTGGAGAACCTCCCACACCCAGAGCAGCTCATGTGGCTACCGCTGTTGGTACAATGGTTGTTATTCAGGTTGGTGCTTACTAGTATTGAAGTGGTTGCCTTTTAGTGGATGCACTTTCAATAGTAATGATGCCTTGTCTCATCATCACAGGGTGGAATCGGACCAGCTGGTTTATCTGCAGAGGATCTTCATGTCCTGGATCTTACCCAACAGCGGCCACGGTGGCATAGGTTGGCTTATCCCATGAACTTATTTCAGCTAAAATTCTGTGAAGACTCGAATACCGTGACAGTTTGCATTTAATGTTCATTTGACTATATCTAGAGCAAACAACTTATGATTTGTTTTATTGGCTGCTAGTGAAATAATGCTTTCTTATGCAGGGTTGTGGTACAAGGCCCTGGGCCTGGGCCTCGCTATGGGCATGTCATGGCTTTGGTTGGACAAAGATATCTCATGGCAATTGGTGGGAATGATGGTGAGTCATGAGAATTGATCCTTTTTCCTTTGAGTTTAACTTTGTAACAACTTGTGATGCTGATAATATTGTGCACGCGGTCAGGGAAACGGCCTTTAGCAGATGTTTGGGCGTTGGATACAGCAGCGAAGCCATATGAATGGCGCAAACTGGAACCAGAGGGTGAAGGTCCACCTCCTTGCATGTAATAATCATTTCCCCCCCTTTCAGCTGCGTACCCTTATCCTCAGTCTTTATCACTAAGTGTGAAGTCATTTAACATCAGTTCAGCAATATCTTAGCCTATTAATTATTCCATATATGTCAAATGATGCAAACCAAGCAATAGTAGCTAATAAAGAGCACCACCCTGGCACCCTTTACCGTTCTTTGAGTTACACAGTTCCTTCTTCATCAGTCATTGCCACTACCACTATCTTTAGTCCCAGCAATGTTTGGACTGTTGGCCTAAAGTTTGTTCTTTGTAGTTCTAATTATTTGCGTAAAATTAGCTAATACTAAAAATTCATGCAAAAAAGGCATAGTGGCTAAGTTTAACATCAGATTCCCTTCTGGTCCCAACCTTCTTAATAATGGATTGAGAGATCATGGAAACAGAAGAACACAGAAAGTATCTTATGGTACATGCATAATAATTAATGAATAAATAACGCGCTACTTACATTGCATTTTTTACTCTCTATCCCATAAATTTGTTCAGCTTCTTTCCTTAAGGCCAATACAATTTTGTTTTAAGGCGTATTTGTTTGAAAGTAGTACTTAGAGTCAAATTTACTTAGGAAAATAGTAAAGAGCCAATTGAATAAGTGGTAATAAGTTTTCTAGATGGAATTCAATCCTTTAATAACTTTAAAAACACCTTTTGAAGAAATAGTATCTGTATTTGTGGTAAAGTAAATTGGAATAGTGGTAATACACACAAACATAAAGCTTGCTCTTTTATCATGAATTAGTATTAGTGGTTGAGTATGCAAAGTTGGTTTTAGTTAGGCACGGAGCGCACTTGCACATGATAATTCATTTTTAATGGATATATTTCTGGGCTGAGTACCAACGGTGTCAGTCGGGCCAACAGATTGCACAGGCTGTCGATAAAACTAACCAAAGTGGCTGACTTTGGAACAAGATTAATTATATCGTTTATGTTTGTTTCCTTATTCTAGTTTAGTATGTCTTTTTTGTGTTGTATAGCTTTATAGATCTATGCTTCCCATGAGTTTAGGAATCTTGTAATAGTTACACACCTCATCAATACAATAAACTACTCCCTCTGCTCCAAAATGTATGCTGCAAGTGAGTTCGGCGTGGTTTTTAAGAAATTAAATGAGAAAGTTGTTTTCAATTCTAACCTCCAAATAGTAAGCAAAAATAGTATGAGTCTACAAAAAGTAAAAAGGTGAAGTGATAGATAAAAGGATAAAGAAGGAAAGTGAACGTTAGTGGATTCAATTTAGACAAGTGTGCCTTTTTTGAGACAACCAAAAAAGAAAGTATATCCTATAAAATGAGACATAGGTAGTACCGCAGTACATTTTAAAGAATTAATTTTTGTAGCTTGAGTAGGTTAGGCACCAAATTAATTTAATCTTATGTTTTAAGCTCCGTTTAAAATTACTCTCCCATGATTTTTTTTGTGTGCAACTATAGATCTGAAGCCAACCTTCAGCTCTTCCGCTAGCTCGTTGTTAGACCTAGGGCAAGATTCCGCATCATTGACTAGATGTTATTGAAGCATGTGGTTCATGTACCACTAGGATGGAGTAATTGGGCCGGAATCAGGCATCATAATCTTTTCTGCTATATCTTGGCTAATAAAATGATCCTTGATTGTTCATAATAATATGAACATTTGGAAATGTTTTCTAAGCATTTAAGAACATTAATGGTGCTTCTAACTTTTAAGTTCTAACTCAGTTATGAAAATTATGTATTGGCTGCTTGTAGATTTGTGAAAACTTGATCATATCAGAAATATGTTGATCTTTTAATCTCATTATTAGACTGATTTGGACAGCCTGGTTTGTTGCAACTTGCAACTAATGTAGTGTGGTAACGAGAAGCGTAAACATGATTTTTTGCATGTAGATGACATTTTTGAGGACAGGATACAAAACCAGGGTAAACATAAATGTATAAAAACATAGGGGTACATGCACAGGTGATTTTCTCGAACATTTTCTGCTATTAATAACTCACCAGCTCCACAGCTATGTTAAGGAATATTAAAAGAGATTATATAAAGCATTAAATGCAATATCGCCTTGTCCAAAGAATTGTAAACGTCAGACGAATGTGAACTTGTGAAAAAATGGATTAGTGGTGTTCGAAATTTGAACTCTGCACTTGAACTTGGTTTAAATTTAATATGAACTTCAAAAACATTGAATATCACCTGTTTGAAGTTGAATATTTGGAACTTCAAACCTGACTTTGACTCAGCATGTACTTAAACTGACTATGAATTTGAACTTAATCTTAAATCATAGCATAAACATGAAACTGTAATGTTGATTGTTAAACATGACTTTGTAATTGACCTTTGACGTGGAACTTACAAATTACAAGTCATAACTTAATTTTGAATGTTACCTTTACTTGAAGTTTGGGCAATATATACGTTTGATGCTCTCAATAGTCAATAGTGACTAGTGAGACAAAGAAGAAAATACAGCACGTAAATATCAGGGATACTGAAGTATCTTACCGCCATTGATGCTATTTATGAAATCCAGTTTTTGAAGCGGAGAAATTGGGTAAACAGTTATTTATAAAGGAAATTAGCGGAAACCTTGCTGCACTCTGGAAAAGAATCGGCCAGCTATGGGAATAGTACCATGGGGATCAACTAAAGTTTAGATTGCATTTCTGAACCCTTTCAGGTGTATGCCATGCTTAAATACATAACCAATACAAATAGCTAGGGGTGCAGTATGTGCTGATTAGGTTTGCTATTTAACAATCTTGAATAGTTTTAACTTTATGTTAAATCCAGTATGAGTAGAAAGAAACTACGAAGTTCATGCGGATCATGCCATATAATCTTTGTACTTAAGAACATATTTTTTTAATAATACACCGAACATGGTGCTTTATGTGTCAAGGTTGCTTTGGAAAATGCATACTTCTCAGTAGTTTCACATTCACTGATTAAATATTTCATGTCGGAAAATTCGTTTTTAATTTTTGGAAGTTTTCAGTAGCATACAATCAACGATGTTCACTTTGGATAAACTAAGGGTTCACTTTGAATGAACTGATCTCTCACTTAACATTTAATTTCCAGGTTCACATACTTGAACTTTTCTCACTTTGGACATGGGATAAAAATGTATATTTTGGTGACATGATGATTGATTATAGTGCACATATATTTTAACATTTAAGAGTTTTGTAAATGAATGTTGTTGTGCAATATTGTTAGGAATACTATATGCACGACCTTCTGTAATAGCCTAGAATATATTGTTACGATTCACTACACAGTTCATTCCACCCATCTTCTCCAAACTCTCATGAACACCAAGATCAACCTCTCACTTCTCCTAATCTGTCTCCCAGTCAGTCTCCTTCCATATCCTCATCATCCTCTATTTCACCTTCTCCTCTTCCAACTAACACTCATCCCATGCAAACAAGGGCCAAGTCTGGAATTATCAAACCTAGACTAAATCCTACCTTACTGTTAGCCCATACTGAGCCCAAGTCAGTTAAGCAAGCTCTCTCATCTCCTCAGTGGTTTTCAGCTATGCAGACTGAATATGATGCTTTAATGGCAAATAAAACATGGTCTTTAGTTCCTCTACCTCCTGATAAGCAAGCTGTTGGCTGGAAGTGGGTTTTCAGAGTTAAAGAAAATTCTGATGGTTCTCTAAACAAAATCAAAGCAAGGTTAGTTGCTAAAGGGTTTCATCAAAGGTTTGGACTTGATTTTGGAGACTTTTTCACCTGTTGTTAAGCCTGTCAGTATCAGAATTCTACTTACCTTGGCAGTTTCCCATAACTGGTCTATTCAACAACTTGATGTAAATAATGCATTTCTAAATGGCACTCTTGAGGAAGAGGTTTATATGATTCAACCCCCAGGTTTTGAAGCCAAGGACACTTCTCTTGTTTGCAAACTGCATAAATCTTTGTATGGCCTTAAACAGGCTCCAAGGGTTTGGTTCCAAAAACTGACCTCTGTTCTTTATGCTGCTGGATTCAAACAAAGTAAATGTGACCCATCTCTACTCATTTTTCTATCCTCAGATATTCACATCTATATCTTGATCTATGTAGATGACATCTTGGTCATTGGAAATAATTCTACTGCCATCCAACAGCTTATTCACAAGTTGCATTCCTCCTCCTCTCTCAAACATTTGGGTGACATTTCTTTCTTTCTAGGAATTGAAGTCAGAAAATTAAGAAATGGCAGTTTACATCTTTCGCAAACCAAATATGTGAGAGATCTTCTGCACAAGACTGGAATGCTTGATTCCAAATGAGTAAAAACTCCTATGGTTAGCAGCTGCAAACTCACCAACTAAGGAAGTGATATTTTACATTTTTACCTGACCCCTATACTTACAGATCCATAGTTGGGGTTTTACAGTATGCTACTCTCACACGACCAGAAATTAGCTATGCAATAAATAAAGTTTGTCAATTCATGGCCACACCTCTACAGGATCATTGGAAAGCAGTCAAACACATTCTTAGACATCTCTCTGGCACCATACATCATGGCATCATCATCCAACCCCTTCCTCTGCAAACTGTACCTCTACCAATCTCTGCATTCTGTGATGCTGACTGGGCATCTGATCCTGTTGATAGAAAATCTACCTCTGGGTCCTGCATCTTTCTTGGTCCAAATATCATCTCTTGGTGGTCCAAGAAGCAATTAAGAGTAGCCAGATCTTCAGCAGAGGCTGAGTATAGAAGTCTAGCAGACACAACAGCTGAAGTCCTATGGGTTCAATTTCTACTTAAGGAACTTCAAGTTCCTTTTGCTATTCCTAGAGTTTATTGTGACAATCTTAGCACATTACAGCTTGCACACAATCCTGTGCTACACTCTCGCATAAAATACATGGAAATTGATCTGTTCTTTGTTAGAGAAAGAGTTCAATCCAAGCAGATTGAAGTTTTCCATATCCCAGCTCCTTATCAACTTGCTGATGTTCTCACAAAACCCTTGACTGCCTCATCCTTTCTTGAATTCAGAACCAAACTTAGTGTGATTGATTTTCCAAATCAATCACCCTAATTTTGAGGCGCGAATGTTAGGAATACTATATGCACGACCTTCTGTAATAGCCTAGTATTAAAGTCTAGCTGTTATAGTTAGTTAAGCTGTACTGTTGTTTGTTATAAGTCCGTTAGAGCTTCAGCTGTTATAAATACTCTTGTACTGATATTCTGATGGTTAATGAAATCATTATTCTTCTTCTTCATTACATTCTGTTACGATTTTAATAAATATTGATGTACTGTGTCAATTTCAATAGTTTCTACTATTAGAGTTTGTAAAATCTAATTAGGATTTTAAAAGCAAAACTTCCTGTTACAACATGCTGTTTATTTTCTCAGGTATGCAACTGCAAGTGCACGTTCTGATGGTCTTCTTCTACTCTGTGGTGGGAGGGATGCAAACAGTGTGGTGAGTTAAACAATTTGTTTTGTCAATTGCATGAAATGATTCCAGGTCTTAGATTGTTGTACATTTATGCTCACACATTTTACTTCTAAAATTTATAGATCACATTATAGTCCACCTCAATTTTCTTCTATGCATTTTCCAGTAAGGAGGGAACTGGGGACAGTGGGAATCTTTTCAATGCAACTCAGCTGTAGATGATAAGAATATTACAATCTACTCCCTCCGTTTTACAAAACTTTGCTAGTAACTTTTAAGTAATAAGTATGTGGTTAAAGTTATTTCTCTCTCCCCTCTACAAATCTCAACCCCACAGATTTTTCTTTATTGTTCTACACGCAAGTCAAATTTTGGCCAAGTTTTGTGGGATGGAGGGAGTGAATGATAAGGCTTTACAAAGTCTAATTCTGTTTTTAATCATAGTTATTACAGCGTCGCCATGGCGTCGCCTAAACGTCGCTATATCGTCGTGGCGCTATCTGAAGCTCGCCATGGGAGGTCGAGACGCCATAAACCATTTGGCGTCGACGCAGCGTCGTTTTGGCGTCGGAAACACGCTATAGACGCTTAAGCGACGACCCAAGCGTAAGTTAATCAATTTTGAACAGGCCCAAGCCCAATTGTTTGAACCCATCAAAATCAAAATAAAATAAAAAAAACAGACCTATCTACGATTCGAAGACATCTCAAACGCACAACTTCCATCCGTCTTCATCGTTCATCGTCCGCACGCTCAAGCTTCAGCTTGTATTTCCGTCGCCCAGGCTGTAGTTGCTTGTGTCCCACAGCTACTGTTGTCTGCTGTTTTTTTGTCCAATATATGTGTAGAGACTAGAGTTTGACTTGAGTCTGTTTAGCGTGTAGGTCTTTTTATTGTATTTTTTGCGTTACTCCAATACTATTTAATTTGTGTTGCTACTATTTTAAGAAAAGTTTCCATTGTTTCAACTTTATGAAAACAAATTTTAGTTTACTTTTATTTAATGGATATGGATAATGTTGGATTATGGATAATGTTTGTGATTGTTTTGATGACTATAGGCTTATGGTCTTATGGATTATGTTGTTTCTGTGATTATATGTTTTACCATTTAATTTTTAGTGTTGGCTACAAATGTTACATGTAGGTATTTTAGTATGTAAAACATATTATGAATTTATTAGTTTATATGTCGACTTATCGCCACGATGCCGCCGCGACGGGCGCCATATCGCCTTGGCGGTATGGCAGTCCGGAGGCGCCGCACCGCAAAACCCCGCCGTAACAACTACTCCGTATGTTTTTAATGCACCACATTGCTTTTCTCTGCATCTTATACAGTTTAAATTTTATGAAGTATAACCTTTGTTATATGGCTATATTGGCACTCAATCTTCTTAATCTGAATTCAAAGTAAAATTTCCATGCTTTGTAGTTTTAGCGGTGAACCATATTTCTTGATCAGTTAAATATTTTGTGCGGGTGTGATTAAATTATTCTCTTCATTGCCTTATGATTCAATGACCTGATCAATGCTGTTGCAGCCATTGGCAAGTGCATATGGACTTGCTAAGCACAGAGATGGTCGTTGGGAGTGGGCTATTGCTCCTGGTGTATCACCATCTCCTAGATATCAGCATGCTGCTGTGAGTTCTATTTCCTTCTGCTCTCTCTCTCCCCCCTTCTCTCTCTCTCCCTGCACTTCATTAACTTTGTCGAACAAAATGTGTAAAAGATTCAAATTAGTGCTGAAATCTCAGGTATTTGTTAATGCACGGCTCCATGTATCCGGAGGAGCACTAGGTGGCGGGCGCATGGTTGAGGATTCCTCCAGTGTGGCAGGTACTACCCATTTACACTTTATTGGCACTATCTTGAAAGAAATGAATTTTTTAAGTTATTGATGCCTTGATGGTAAACTAGAGTTATTTACTTATTTTTATGTACAGATTCTGAGATTACTCTTTTTTTCCCTACAGTTTTGGATACTGCTGCTGGGGTTTGGTGTGATACAAAGTCTGTTGTCACTAGCCCACGGCCTGGCAGATACAGTGCAGATGCTGCTGGCGGGGATGCTGCAGTTGAGTTAACAAGGCGTTGCAGGCATGCTGCTGCTGCTGCTGGTGACTTGATCTTTATTTATGGTGGCTTGCGTGGTGGTAAGAATAAAAACTATACAGAAAGTTGAACTTTTAGTATCCTACTCTGCTGTTTTGGACCACAGCCAACTTCCCAATCTGCGTCCTTCAAGCTGCCATCGAAGCCCATACTATTTATGTCTAAAAAAGGAAATAAGAAAAGAAAATGGGTTCTTTTAAGAGGGGCTTACGTATCCTTTGAAGTATGATTCTTTGTGCGGTTATGGGGTTGTAAGGCTGTTAGGCTCGCCAGGATTTTATGGAATTATTTACTAGGTTGGCTACTTAGCTAGAATTTGTACAGCTTCCTTTTTGTTACTGTTAAGATTTAAGGAAGAAAGCTAATGCTCCATTCACTTTGGTGTGAACTGATGATAAAAGAGTTCCATTCAGGAAGGGTAGACACTTTTCTGCTCCCTCTGTCCCTTTTTATTCTCTTCTTTTAAATTGGCACAACTTTTAAGAGAGTAGAAGCTGTGATTGAAGTAGAGAAGAATTAGAGAAACAATATCAAACACGGAAGCTCTCCCTGAAATGGAAGACGCGATAATTTAGGGACATATCGCATATGGAAAAGAAAAGAACGAAGATAAAGAAGGGACTGATGGATTTTTTATCAACAAGGTGATATATATTTAGGTGGCCAACAAAAATGTTGATGTTGCAATTAAATATTTTGAATTGCTGCAAGCAGACGATTTTGAATGGTGTCCAAGCAGGTGTCTAGTACTTTGTTACGCCTTGTCCATGTTGAGAAATCACTGTCTATGTTAAGCTTTCATTGCTCTTTTAGATAAGAATTTTCAATGACTAAGCTTTAGTAATATACCACGATCTTGGGAGAGTTGTCAGATGTAGCTACTCTTATTTAATGGGCTATAGCAATTAGTATCATAAGATCAGAAGTCTTTTGTGCTTCTGGATGAGCGAACTTGGAAAAGGACAACCGGTGCCCATTGACGTCCCCACAAGGCGAGTGTTCGGGAAAGGGTCCCACCACAAGGGTGTATAAGAATCAAATATTCCCTACTTCCCTAGTCATTTTGAGAAGAGGCTTCTCCCGAGACCTGAACCCATTTGAATACTGAAAGCCTTGGCTAATCGGTGCGCCAAGGCTCCCCTTCATGAGTGAACTTGGAAGAACATAACAAATGTGATCAATGAAATTTCTGGGGTTGTGGACTAAAACTAGAAAAATAAGGAAAAGACCAAAACCAATCCTTGCTTTTGATGATTTTTTGGGGTTGTGGTATGCCTTGTATTAAAATTCATGATTGCATTGCAGGAGTATTGCTAGATGATTTACTTGTTGCTGAAGATTTGGCTGCTGCTGAAACAACAAGTGCAGCATCGCATGCAGCAGCAGCTGCAGCAAATGTACCTTCGGGGAGGCCACAAGGGAGGTATGGATATATTGATGAAAGAACGAGACAAACAGCTCCTGAAGCAGTTAATGATGGTGCAGTTGTTCTGGGAAGTCCTGTTGCCCCCCCTGTAAATGGTGATATGTATACTGATATAAGTACCGAAAATGCCATGCTTCAAGGAACTCGGTGAGCCACTCATGCTTATGTAGTTATGTATAATGCATCCTTTGTTCTTTTTTATTTGCAATGTTTGACTTTCACGTTTGCCAGCGAACACATGACTTGGACCATTAATTTGTTTCATGATATAGTAAATTTTATGAAAACACGATACTTCTGAAATATACATTGAGACAAAGGTAACAACATTTTACATAAAATGATGATTTGTTTTTATACACAAATAAAGAAATATTCGTCAAAGTAGGGTATATGAATAGTGTAAAAGTCAAAATGTTGCAACTAATAAAGAACAAATGAATTAAGATGCAATGTCATCAATAACTCTACTGTTTTTTTTGCTAAAAGCAATTTGATAGGTAGGTGGGGTTTTCATTGGCGAAGAAATTGTAATAGGCGGGGTATTGTAAAATATGTATAGTAGTCCAATCACCGGGTCATCTGGACGTTTTTTAGTTTTTTATTAGGGTGACTAAAAATGCAAAGTACCTGAAGGCCTGATGTAAACTAAGATCCCTTTAAACATTCCATTTACAATCTTGATGGGCCCACTGACACACACATTTTTTTATATTAAAAACATATTATTAAGTATACTAGCATCTCCAATTTACTCCTTCCCGCTAAACTAATCCATCTTAGTCATATTATTTATATAAAAAACACATGCATATCGACACATTAACACTTGTAGTTTTTATAATGCAGGAGGTTGAGCAAAGGTGTTGAATATCTAGTTGAGGCATCTGCAGCTGAAGCAGAGGCTATTAGTGCTACTCTAGCTGCTGCAAAAGCTCGGCAAGTTAATGGAGAAGTTGAGTTGCCGGATAGGGATCGAGGGGCTGAAGCAACTCCTAGTGGAAAGCAAATATCGAGCTTGATCAAGCCTGACTCTTCCTTGGTAAACAAATCTGCTCCCCCCGGAGTTCGGTTACATCATCGTGCTGTAAGTGCCTATTTCTTTATTCTGTAGACATCGTCACCGAATTGCTCCGAGGTAATGTTAAAATATTTTGTATGCCCTAAAATATATTCACAGGTTGTTGTTGCTGCGGAGACAGGTGGTGCTCTGGGTGGCATGGTTAGACAGCTTTCCATTGATCAATTTGAAAATGAAGGCAGACGTGTTAGTTATGGGACTCCAGAAAATGCAACAGCAGCAAGAAAGCTTTTGGACAGACAAATGTCCATCAATAGTGTTCCCAAAAAGGCAAGTTAGCTATTAATCGCGTATTTTATTTATTTTTATTCTTTTGTCTGAAACTGTTATGGCAGTCTAGGTGTCTAGCTGCCTGATGAGTATAGATCAGTGCTTGGGCTGCTTTGATAGAAAACATTCTTGTTTTATACTTGTACATGCTTTTGTTCCATCAAACCATTCATGTGGCTAAATGTCTCTTCAAATGATGCAAATGACATCGGAAATGCATAACATGTAATTAATGTGATCTTTTCCTATCTTTAGCAAGATAAATGGTTGTATGGACCAAAAGTGACAAGAATTTAATAGTCGTGCATACAAAGTGAAATGTGAAAACAGGGAACAAAAAGTAGAACTGGCTCGATGTATGTGGACCAAATGTGAAAAACTATCTTTGTACTTTTGATGCTTCTGATTGAGGATAACAAGAAAGAGCACTGTTTAACCAACCAAGCGAAGAAGCTCTTATGGTTATTAAACCAGTGAAGAGAAGTTTTTCCTTCCAATCAAAGAACCCTTAAGTGCAGCTGAAAATGCTATGTTGCTTACATGCATCTGTACTTTTCCACAGGTCATTGCTCAACTTTTGAAACCTCGTGGTTGGAAACCGCCAGTGCGCCGTCAATTTTTCTTGGATTGCAATGAGTTAGCTGATCTTTGTGACAATGCTGAGAGAATTTTTGCAAGTGAACCTAGTGTTCTTCAGCTTAAAGCTCCTATTAAGATATTTGGTGACTTGCATGGGCAATTCGGGGATCTAATGCGGCTTTTTGATGAGTATGGGTCCCCGTCAACTGCTGGGGATATAGCGTAAGTAACTCCTAGTTTATAAAGTATTTCCTTCTAGTGAAGCTTCCATTTTATAAACTGAAACCTTGTTAGGGTCCGTGAAGTGTAACAGTTTGTTTCTTTAACTGATTCCTTTTTTCCCTTTTCATATCACTGTGAAGATTGGTTTTTCTTTGGATACCTTGGATTTAAAAACTTATGTGATATTCACATTAGTGATATCAAGTATTATGTGTATAATTAAAGAAGTGTTATTTGTGAATGTGTGGAATGATTTTCCTTTGGAACTGATATAATTTAAAAATTTCAGTTACATCGATTACCTATTTCTAGGAGACTACGTAGACCGAGGGCAGCACAGTTTGGAAACCATAACTCTTCTCCTTGCTCTGAAGGTACTTGTCTGATTTGTGCATTTCTAGTCTTTAGTTTTGTCATCCTGCTGATTTAAATGAGAATAAGTGAATCTCTAGGTCGAGTATCCCAATAATGTACACCTAATTCGTGGGAACCATGAAGCTGCAGATATCAATGCACTTTTCGGTTTTCGAATCGAGTGCATTGAACGCATGGTATGTAATTTTCAAACGAGTCTGCCTTTTTTGGGGTGTCCAATGCCATGATTCCTAAGCTTACAGTTGGGGTATGGAACAGGGGGAGAGAGACGGGATATGGGCTTGGCATCGGATTAACAGACTATTTAACTGGCTTCCCCTTGCGGCGTTAATTGAGAAGAAGATTATATGTATGCATGGTGGCATTGGGCGGTCTATCAATCATGTCGAGCAAATTGAAAATATTCAGCGCCCTATTACTATGGAAGCTGGCTCAATTGTGCTCATGGACTTGTTGTGGTTAGTGTATCTAATGAATCTACTTCTCTCTCTCTCTGTAACTACCATTCTTGTAAGAATCATCTGTTTTCACTTTCCACTGCAATTTGTATTCATACTTTAATTTCAGGTCTGACCCAACGGAAAATGACAGTGTTGAGGGATTGCGTCCTAATGCCAGGGGACCTGGATTAGTCACCTTTGGGGTGAGTGGTTTCTGTCTGTTTTTGTTTAGTTTTTTTAGGAGTGGTTTTAAGTCTTGAAACCAAAAGGGAAGGTATGTCTTCTAAAGGCCGACTCATGTATATATTCCTTCATTGTATACATGCAGCCTGATCGTGTGATAGAATTCTGCAACAACAATGATCTTCAATTGATCGTCCGAGCCCATGAGTGTGTGATGGATGGCTTTGAACGCTTTGCTCAGGGACATTTAATTACTCTTTTCTCAGCCACGAATTATTGTGGTCTCTCTCTCTCTCTCCCCCTTTGTAGTAGAATTGTTGTTTTTTACTTGGTTACATTTTTTTTTGAATGGATTTAATCTCACTGCAGGTACTGCCAATAATGCTGGTGCAATCTTGGTACTGGGTAGGGATCTTGTGGTGGTCCCAAAACTTATTCATCCATTGCCACCAGCAATTTCATCGCCCGAAACTTCTCCTGAGCGGCACATAGAAGACACTTGGATGCAGGTGAGATTTATAATCACTACAGCTTTTCTAGAAAATATTCCATTTTTTATCCGGACCTGGGTCATCCTCACTTTTAGTTTTCAACTTTCATTTTCACACCTTTAGTGCACAATGTATTTCTGCCACTTTTGTTCATTTCAATCGCTTATCTGACAAATATATGTACAAATTCATGGTTCGGTTTTGCCTATTAAGTGATATAAGAAAGATTGGTAGTGTGTCAAGAAATGCATAGTAGTGCACCAAAAGTGGAAAAAGATGTGAAGATACCAAAAGTGATAATGACTTTGGTGGGGATCCAAGGCGGAATATTCTCTTTTGAGATATATTATTTTGAATTTCTAAAGAATCTTTGGACAAGTTCGTGTATTTATTTATTTATTTTTGGTTTATTGTTTTTCAATGGAAAATAGGAGCTCAATGCTAACAGACCACCCACACCAACTAGAGGTCGGCCTCAAGTCGCAAATGATCGAGGTTATCTTGCTTGGATTTAAGATTATAGTAATACTTATAATTTGACAGATAATTCCTTTTTCACGCTTTACTTCTTCTTCCAGCCGCATGCTAACACCTCTGGGATTTCCAGTTATCTGTACATAAGCAGAGTGAACATTTGGAGTACACCCGCAGCAAAGATCTGATTATTCGAACCAAAACTCCTTCCAACCAAGAGTTGCTGATCTGTTATTAATGTCCGTATACATTCACTGCAATGGATGCTTTGAATGGAATTCTTCAGGGTTGTTGAAGGACTGTCTTCTGTTCACCAAAGCAAGCAATACTATGGTTGTGGATCAACTATGCTGGGATGTACTGCGCTCCCTTGGCCCAATGGGCTATGCCAGTTTTTTTAAATATGTATTTTATATATATACCTCATTTATGTGCATTATATTTGTTTAGTGCTAAAAGAATTACGGCCTTGTAAGATTTGATGAAGATATTTGTTTGTATTTGTATTATAGGGGAGAGGAAGAGCTGCTTTGTGTAATATATGTTGCTCATTTTGTAAAATGTGAGGTTCGTTGGTTTGAGCAAATCCCATTAGCACACAGGAAAAAAATAAAATGGCGGAGTATGATAGCAGACCCTCTTTGTACCTCTTTAATGCCACGGTCTTTTAGTCTGTTACTCTTGCAGTCTTGCTCGATGGAGATTTAATAGAGATGCGGAGTAAAAATTCCGGAGTATAATTTTTAAATGCCGTCAAGCTTCAAGCCTGCAAGTCTGCAAGACTGCAACTAGGGATGAACTGGGATGGGTCGGCCTGACCCGGGACCCAGCCTGGCCCGGCATTGTGCAGGCGTGACCTGGTCGGCTGGCCCGGTGAACTGGGACCGGAGGCCCTGACCTGGGGGGTTTAACAGGTGGGCCACGAGCTCTGATTTTAGTGAACCGGCTTGACTGGTCCGTGCCTGACCTGGGCCAATTTTTTTTTTTATATTTGGTATTGGGCTGCTTGCTAGGTGGGTGGGGCTGGGTGGTTTGGGGGGGGGGGGGGGGGGTTGGAGGTGGTGGTGGTGGGAGACGGTTTGGAATTAATTTAAAAATACCCATTTTTTTTTATTTTGAGCTCGACCTGACCCGGCTTGGCCTGGTCCACGTACTAACCTAGGGATGGATTCGGTTCGGGCCACCCGGCCCGTGACCCGGCCCGGTACTGTGCGGGCCCGGGACCGGCCCGGTCGGGCGGTCCGGGACCGGGTCTGGGCCCGAACCGGGGGGAAGGGGCGGGGCGGGCTCGGTTCAGCATTTTGTGACCCGGCCGGGTCGGGCCCGGGTCCGGTTCGATCAATTTTAAAAAAAAAAATTTTTTTTGGGTTGGGCTCCTACTAGGCACTAGCCGTTGGGGGTGGGGCTGGGGACAACCCAAACGGCTATATAGCCGTTGGGTGGGTTATAGGGGGGGTCCGGGGGGGTTGGGTGGTGGGGGGGGTGGGGGGTAAAAAAATCTATAAATACTCCTAATCTTAAACATTTTTTCATCTCTTCTCCAATTCTTCCTAAATCCTATTCTTAACTCTCTACTCTCTACACAACAAAGCACAATTAATGAGATTTCTTTGTATTTAACTTATGATGTTGATTTTGAAGAAGATGATGATTTTGACGTACTAAACTGGTGGAAGGGAAAAGAAAGAATGTTCTCGGTTTTAGCAAAGATGGCTAAGCAAGTGCTATCAATGCCGGTTTCAACGGTTGCCGTGGAACAAGAATTTAGTTCGGCCGGCAATGTTCTAACACAAACCAGAACGAGGTTGAGCGCTGAATCTCTTGAGATGCTTATATGTTACCACGATTGGTTGAAAGCAGCACGTAGAGCTCAAGAAATTGACATCACTCCATCCCAACACTTTATGGATGAATCTACAGAGGGTGGCTCTACTTATGTCGGAGATTCCGATTAAAAACAATTATAGTTCCTATTTAATTTTCAAATGTAGTTCCTATTTCATTTCAAATAAATGCACTTGAAGTTTATTTTTTAATACTTGTATAAAACTATAAAGTATAAAATATAAATTTAAAAAAAAAAAATTACTCGGCCCGATCCGGCCCGGCCCGGCGGGTAGCCCGACCCGTGACCCGGGCGGGTGGCTCGGCCCGAACCGGACCCGTCCAACCCTCGGGCCGGTCCCGGGCCCACTATTCTAGAACCGGCAGCCCCACCGGGCCCGACCCGGCCCGAATCCACCCCTATACTAACCCGGGCTGGTACCGGACCTGAATATATTGGACCCAAAGCCTGGCCCGGTCCGGTCCCGGTCCATGCCTACCTAGGGATGGACCCTACCAGTTCAGCCCGGCCCGGCCCGGAACCAGTCTGGCCCGCTACTGTGTGGGCTTGGACCGGCCCGGTTGGTGCTCTCCGGGCCTGGGCTTTTACCTAGGCTTGGACTCGGGTCGGGCCACCCGGCCCGTGGACCGGCCCGGCCCGCTACTGTGCGGGATCGGGACCGGCCCGGTTCTCGGGTCCGGGTCCGGGTCGGGCCTAGGCCCGGGGGGTAGGGCGGGTCCGGGCTCGGGTCTGAATTTTGGTGAACCGGCCCGGGCCAAATTGATTTTTTTTTTATTTTTTTTTCATTTTTGGGCTTCCACCCGGGTTGGGCTTGATGGGTAGGACCGTAGGATGGGTTTGGGAGGGGGGGGGGGGGTTAGGAAAGCAAAAAAAAAAAAAAAAAAAAAATCCAACCCGGAGGCCCGGCCCGGCCCGGTCCGGACCCGGACCGGACCCGGTGGCTACCCGGGCCGGTCCCGGGTCCACCATTCTTGAACCGCCGGCCCGGCCGGGCCTAGGCCCGACCCGGACCCGGCCCGGCCGGCCCTAGGCCCGACCCGGACCCGGCCCGGCCGGCCCTAGGCCCGACCCGGACCCGGCCCGGACCCGAGTCCACCCCTACTTTTACCCGGTTGGGGCAGGTTGGGTGGGCTGATTCCGGTTCTCCCTTTCCCAAAAAAAGCTCTTCGGGCCTAGGCCTGGCCCGGGTCTGCCCCTTTGCCTACCTGCAACCCCATTATTTTTTCTGTAGAAGGATAAGATGAAAATGTAAGTAGTGAATGATAATGGAATAAGTCAATAAACGATTATGATTATGAACTGCGGTTGTGTGCTTTTATAAAAATTGTGTTCAACTTTCAACTTTTGACATCGACAAACGACAATTGGGCTATGTAGGACAGTAGGACCGTAGGAGTGCAGCAGATTAGAAGAGAGTATTTTACCAAATAGGCATGGAAGGCGATCGGATTGGGCCGGGCTTCGGGTCCAAAATATTCAGTCTCGGTACCAGCCCAGGTTAGTACCGTGACCGGTCCGGTCCGGTCCGGGTAGGGATGGACTGGGTCGGTACGGACCGATTCGGTACTCGGTCCGAATAGGGATGGACCGATTCCGGTTCGGGCCTTGGCCCAGCCGGGCCTCAGTTCATGAAGGGGAGGCCCGGAACTGGCCCGGGTAACCCCCGGGTCCGGGCCGGGCCGGACCGGGCCTCGGTTCTATTTTTTTTTTTTTAGCTTTTCCTTGTTAATCCCTAACCTTCCCCCTCACCCCCAAACCAACCCTAACCACCTCAAATGGCCCAAAATACCCAGCCCAACCCAAAAACTTAAAAAAATTCAAAAAAAAAAAAATGGCCCGACCCGGGCCCGAACTGGCCGGGCTGGTTCACCTTTTGAAGGGCCCGAGCCCGAACCACCATCCCACCGGTCCGGGTGGCCCGAACCGGCCAACCAACCGGTTCACCGGGCCGGTCTGGGCCCGCACTGTAGCGGGCCAGTCCGGTTCCGGGCCGGTTGGCCCGACCCGAGTCCACCCCTAGGTCCGAATCGCTACTGTGCGGTACCGGCCCGGCCGATCAGGATCGGGACTGGGGTTTGGGGTTCGAACCGGGGGTCAAATGGGGACGGGCTTCAGGACGTTATTTTAGTGGGCCGGTTCTGGCAAAAATGTATTGTTTTTTAGTTTTTTGGCAGTGGGCCGCTGCTAGGTGGGTTGGGTTTATGGTTGGACTCGGGTCGGGTGGCCCGACCCAGAACCGGCATGGGACCGGTACTGTTCCTGCCCGGCCCGAACCGGTGGCCCGGTCAATGACCGGTCCGGGTAGGCCCGAACCGGTGGGTTTCCGGTCCGGGCTCGGGTCACCCATAACAAGGCCGGGCCTGGCCGGGCCCAGTTCGGGCCAAATTTATTTTTTTGTTTTTGGTTTTTTGCATTTGTTTGGGCTCCACCGGGTTGGGCTTGATGTTTAGGAGGGGTTTGGGGGGTTTGGGGGGGTGGGGGGGGGTCAGGGATGGGTAGCTAAGCAAAAAAATAATAATAACCAAACCCGAGGCCCGGCCCGGACCCGGCCCGGACCCGGTGGCTACCCGGGCTGGTCCCGGGTCCAGCTATATAGAACCGCCGGCCCGAGTCCAACCATAGTTGGGTTGGGTGTTTTGGTGGGGTTTGGGGTGGGGTAGGAATAAATTAGAAAAGATTAATTTTAAAAAAGAATTGACGAAACCCGACCTGAAACAAACAACATGTCATAGGTTCGAGTACCAATACAATGAAAAATGCGGAGTACCTACGGAAGTACGGAGTACGTATTAAAACTAACGTAGAACAAATACTATAATAGTTAGAAACTTAGAATGAAATAGATATTTGTAATAAATTTAATAAATGAAGTACATTTTTATCGTCATATATATACCAAGTATAGTCCACCTACCACAAGTCCACATTCCACAAATGCTTGTTCCTACTTCCTAGTAACAACAAATGCTCCCCAAGTCCCCATATATTGACCCATTTTTGGCACCGAAAACATGTCCTTTAACATTTGTCCACAAATTTTAGCAACCTTATTGCACGGTCCAAAGTTTATGGCGTCAGAACATATTGGTGATTGACAAAATAGGGTAGATTCCATGACTATTCCAAAAGGTGTAGATTCCTTTCAGTGCGGACCATTTTAAAAGATGAACATATTTGGCGAATATGTTCAATAATTTTTATTAAAAAATAAATAAATCAAGAAACGTATTTGGTGAACATGTTCAACAATTTCGATTAAAATAAGGTTAGAACATATTCGGCAAACCTGTTCCCGTATTTACATATAAAAACAATCCAATACATTATTTATCTCATGCAACCTTTCAAAAACAATTATACATTACTATCTACTGAAATGAAAATTTATATATTCCGAATTGAAATATTTATTGAAATGATAAGAAACAACTTGTTATTAAAAACTTAAAAAGTACAATTCTTTCATAATAAATTACTAAAAACGCTAAAATATTAAAAAACACATGAAATCATTGTCTTCTTCTTATTCTTCTTCTTGGACGCTAAAATATTAAAAATACAAGAAATCGTTGTTTCACCTCTGTCACGCATTTCCCGAGCAACCTCCCCCAAACATTGAGTCTACAATATAAATTTATACAATTAATACTGTGAATTATTACATTATTTGAGAATACTAAACACTCTTAAATACTAACCGTTATAGCTTATTCTGGATGAGCTGGAACAAATCCGGTTCTAGGACTATCTTGTGAGGGGTTGTTAATGTGTATCTTGCCTATGTAATGAAACCAATGACGGTACTCATCATTGAATCACACTCTAGTTGAGTCAAACACATATAATTTTTGCCATCGGTCCTCCCATTCTGTAATAAAGCCAGCACTGTTCTGTGGTCGGGTAGCATGATGACGGTCGTTATGAATCACCGAATCTGATATATCCTGGACTGCACCAAATTGACGATAAAATCTTCTAGGATAGTATGCCTCAAATATGAACAATAAATAAGTGGAACTCTATTTGACCACAGTTCATATGCATCAGTGCAAAATGGTGGAAGACTCATAAGCGGGTAAGGTGTCCATTCAAACTGTGCAAAAAAAGTGTTCCATATTAGTAAAAAATAAAAAAAAAATCATTAAATAAATTTAAATTTTACCTCCCACTCCTTTAATCGGTCAAATTGGTCCACATAAATGCGTACATTGAATCTGCTAGTGTCCGACCAGTTATGCTGACAAGTCCACCTATATTTAACGACTTAAAGGACAAATCATAAAAACCATAAGAGAGTATAATGTAAATTGCCGATGTCAGTGAAGTTTACCTAGCACCATAGGGCAAATCGAATAAGTGTTCTAGTGGAAGAACCCCTTGGGGTCGAACCATCGGTAACCTCTCCCATGCCCAGAGTTGTAGAAGGACTACACATCCTCCCACCGAAACGTTGTCCGCCATCGCCGCTTCACATAAGTTGTGGTACAAATATGCCAACACAACCGAGCCCCAACTTCACCTAGTCATATTCTCTAAGTTGTCTTGCAACAACTCAAGAAAGTACAACGACGCTCTACCGCTAGTGTTAGGGAACAACAACCCACTGAGCAACTGCCAAATCAACGCTTTCGTATGACGAATAATGTCAATTTTTATGCTCCATGGTGATAACGAAAAGCGCTTAATGGCTAGCATTCTAATGTTGTTGGATGATACTATATCTTTATCAAGTGGCCTGAAACCCAGATAATCATCACACATCTGCATCCATTCAGTCTTACTATGTGCCGTTGGACCAGTAAGTGGGAGACGTCAATCGGTAACCCGATCAACACCTGTACATCTTGCAATGTCATGCCTATTTCACCAAAAGGTAAATGGAAAGCATGTGTTTCTGGTCTCCACCTCTCAACCAATGCGGTGATAAGTAGGGCTGCACAAGAAGAACCCGAACCCGCATAACCCGTCCGACCCAACCCTACCTGACCCTATTTAATCGGGTATTTGATTTTTAAAAATATTCATGGGTTAAATATGATTGAACCCGCACCTAATGGGTAGTAGGGTAGCGGAATTAAAATCTCCAACCCGATAGTACCCGACCCG